TTTGGTTTGGGAGTGTGTTAATTGTGGTTGATTCGCATACGGTTAGGGAAGACGCGGTACCGGAATTGAGATTACGGGTTCAAGAGAGAAGAGAGGCCCCACAAAATGGTAACGGAGCGGGTATTGCCACTGGGAATGAGCAATTGAATGGTCATGATCAAGCGCCTGGAGTTATTAACGGGGTAGATTATTCTGAGAACGTAAACCCGACACCGGCATCAAATGGCAATATTCCACCACAGAACGGAGTGTCCAATACTTCCAGCGATTTGGAAGAAATCAAAATCAGAGGAGTTAAGCTTTACGCAGATGTTGCGAATACTTTCTGGAGATTCCATATCCAAGTCCCAATGCTACAAGAAGAACTTCGATGCGAATACACAATTCCCGGTCTCACATTTGCTGAAGGAGGAAAAACGGATAGACAAACCTTTTTCGTACCAGCGGTTACCGAGAGTATGAGAATAATGTTTCATTCTTGTAATGGATTTAGTGTGGGAACAGATGAGGACGCTTATAGTGGTGCTTGTCTCTGGAGAGATGTTGCACGACAACATGAGGAAGCTCCTTTCCATGTTATGTAGGAATATCCTCGATTTTGAGATTGGTACAGACTAACATTTGATAGGCTTGGTGGTGGAGACCAAATTTACAATGATGGAATTAGAGTCAATGGTCCTCTGAGACCTTGGACTGATATTGGTAATCCTATCAAGAGAAGGGAATATCCTTTTCCCGAACAGCTGAGGAGAGATTGCGATGATTATTATGTCAAGAATTATATTCGCTGGTAAGTCAATGGTTGGAGTGGAAGATTTAGGCTACGAAAGTTAACAAGGATGCAGGTATTCCACAGAACCTTTTGCTGCGATGAATGGAAAGATCCCTCAAGTCAATCTTTGGGATGATCATGATGTAGGTGTCTTTTGTCTCATGATAAATTTAATTACTAATCAATTATTACAGATCATTGATGGCTTTGGTTCATACGTTGATGAATTTATGCGTTGTCCCGTTTTCCGCGGTATTGGTGGTGTCGCTCATAAATACTATTTACTCTTCCAGCATCATCTTGCACCTCCTGCATCTACATTTACAACTGGTGCGTTGTCCTCCTGATCATTGTTTTGTCCTATACTAACATTTTTCAGATGCACCTCAGACCATGTCTGCGAATGGAGGCGGAATTGATCCACGTCAAATAGAAAACACATATGTATTGGAGAATGACGTTTCTGATCCAAGTTATATTATTGGTGATAGCCCTGGCGTAAGTACTTCCACGTTGTCTTATAGATAAAGCTAATTTTTTGCAGCCATATGTAGCAGAGCGCTCCCGTAGCATCTATGCAAGATTGGGCGCAAGAGTTGCTTTCTTTGGTATTGATGCTAGAACAGAAGTAAGTAGTCAGAATTGTCAACAACGGTAACATATTGATCTTTAATCTAGCGTACACGCCATCAAGTAAACTATCCAGAGACATACAAGAAAATCTTCGATCGTCTGAGAGAAGAACTTGCAGCCGCAAAAGATTCTCCAAATTCTATTCAACATCTTATTATCTTACTCGGAATTCCTATCGCTTACCCAGTAAGTCTGAGATCGCAATCTAAACATGCTCTAATGCTAATATTTGTAGCGTTTGACATGGCTAGAGAATATTTTTTCGAGCCCCTTAATGGGCCCACTGAAATTTATGAATAAGCGATTTGGATTTGGTTAGCGATATTTTACACACCGATTTATCTATATTAATTACTAACTTATATTGTCAGGCGGAAGTTTCTTCAATCATTTCGATGGCAGTGTAGATCTTCTCGATGACCTCGATGATCATTACACAGCACATACCCACAAAAAAGAACGTCACTACATTGTCAAACAACTTCAATCTCTCGCATCCGAGTTCTCAGTCCGTATTACCATTCTTGGTGGTGATGTACATCTCGCTGCCGTTGGACGCTTCTACTCAAATCCCCATTTGAAAATTCCAGTTTCAACAGATTACAAGTATATGGCAAATATCATTTCTTCAGCAATTGTCAACAAGCCTCCTCCGCAAGCGGTCGCGAATCTATTGGCCAAGAGAAATAAAATCCATCATTTAGATAAAGAGACTGATGAGACACTGTTGAGTTTCTTTGATAGAGATCCAGGAGATGAAAGGAAAAGTAGTAAGAGTAATACCGTTACGATGCCAAGTCGAAATTGGGCGGTTCTTACAGAAAATTCACCTTCCTCGGCATCATCTTCCATTCCGCACCCTAATGGAAACGGAGAAACACCAATCGACTCCTCCTCGGGACCCTATGATCTCCCCGCCTCCGAAATACCAAAAGATGGACACTCCCCCCTCCACAAGGGAGAACAGGGCGCAGGGAGCGCATATAAAGCAGCGGATCCGCAATATCACGGCAAGAGCGCAGATGGAAGTTTAGATGTGGTGGTCAGAGTGGAGATTGATCAGCATGATGCAGAGGGCAAAACGAGGGCGTATGGAATGAGCGTGCCGGTTTTGAGATATAAGGGGGTGCCGTTGGTGGTGGAGGAGGGGAGGAAGAGTTGGGCTGGGGAAGGAGAAGCTTGAGGGAGAGGAAGAGTAAGACTTCTGTTGCGGGGAGGGGGGGAGTGCGGGGAGAGAGGAGGCTTAGAGGGTTTGGGTGTGGTTTTATGTGGGTTGGGAGTTGGGGAGGGAAGGGGGAGGGTGAGTGGGTAGGGAATTGATTAATAGTGAGCATGCTGGGAAAATGGATTGTTGAGTAGATGAGCGAGGGTTACGATGTGTTTTCAGAAAGGCGGATGCGGACGTTGTTAATAGTATATCCATGTCCATGGACTGGATGGGACGGGTTGGGGATTCTTCGATACCAGGATTGCGATTCTTTCCTCTCTCTCTTCTCTCTTGATCATTGTATCTGTAATTAGTTAATATTGTATCGTTATCATTATTGTTATTGTTGTTGTCATTGGTATTGATTGGTATTGCATAAATCGTGATGCTCAATTGATCATCTACTACGGATTACTTGTCACGTCTTTGCACCTTTGTATCTTTGTATTTGCACATTTCCAAATCAATTCAAGCTTTTATTGAAAGAGATTTTATGGTAGCCAACTAATTAACTCGCTAGATCTTGAGATTGAAATTTTGATACTTCTATAAGGCTATTATAATGAAGACGTGAGAGAGGAGAGGAAATGGTATCTACAACGCCGCCGATGCAAAAAAACTAGAGCAAGAACTTTTGTGAGATTTGAGATTTGGATTTTGTGAGTGTGGGCTAATTTTGTGATGTGATGGGTTGTAAGTGAGAAGTTGTGCAGAAATCAGGGGGTGTGTAGATCGACTTTGCTGTTTCTTCTCGCGCGGATGGATTCGGAGCAAGTTGAGTTTCTATGGTAGACTTGATCTATCTCGTTTCTCATCTCATCGGGTAGGGGATGAATACCATGAATAGATATCCCGTCTTAGATACTACAAGTGACTCCTTTGAATTGCAATAGTTTTCTTTCTTTGCTTTGTTATTTTATGGCGAGTTTCGACTCGACTCGCAGTATTGAGGGGATTGATTGTTGAGTATGAGGTCGTCAAGATCGTGTTAGTTTGAATTATGGATAATTGTTGAGTAAATAGATGTTCCGGTCGTTGAGACTCCTTAATTGATCTTGCGGTGTTGAGAGGTGTAGAAATGTGCCAAAACGAGTCGAAGGTAGTCGGCAGGGCCTCCGAGGATTATTCTTAGAGCTTTCCTCATAGCCGATGGTTTTGATGCCCTTCTCGAACAAATATCTTCACAAGAATACCAAAAGGTATAATGTGAGACGAGATGTGATTTTCCCTCTCACAAATGCATACCTTCCTCCTCATCCGCACCAGCATCTTCGCGCATCCGTAATTCCATTGCTCGACGTAAAGCTTCATCGTCCAATCTGCCTCCTGTATTCGTAGTTGCTGTGGTTCCGTTTGTTGTGACTCCATTCGCCGCCGAGACTCCATTCGCTGTTGTAGGTGCGGCTGTAGCCGCAGGTGTTGGATCCATCACAACTTCACCTCCCACAATTCGTCCTGTAGTAAATGTTCCATCGGCCCAAGGGTTACTCCTACTTTCTTCATTCACAGTGGTTGTACCGTTTGTCGCAGGAGCGGGAGATGATACATCTTCTTCTGGCTTAGGTTCGGCGCCAGCTTCATATTCGCCCCATACTCCGCCTCGAGCTTCGATTTCTGTGCGAAGAAGTGAGATGCGGGTTTCCATGCGGGCTATTACAATTTCGTTTTCGCGAATCGCGTCAATACTATTAGAGCCAATTAGTAGCTAATTCTAATAGGATCACCTTCTTCTTTTTGTAAATTTTGGGAAATAAATCAAAGGAGCACAACATACCAATCTTCATCTGCCTTTCCATCTACACATTCGGGAGCTCTCCCTTCAGCGAAAGGTTTCAATTCTTCGTTAGAATAATCGAGATGTGCGATGGAATTACGTAGTTCCGCAGCTTTGAGATGGAGGGTAGACATGGGGAGATCTTTGAGAGCTTCCGCGAAGGCGGCAGGGGAGATTGGGAGGGCGTCGGCGGACATCTTGATATTTGGGTAGATTTGAGAATTATTTGTTAAATTTGTGGATGGTGTTAGAGGGGTTGTCTGTAGCTGTTGCGGCTGTACCTAAAGTTTGAAGTCGTGAACTCTGGGATTGCTTTAGCGATAAACAAGAGAATTGAACACTCTTCAGATCCTTGAGGTTTAAAGTAACTATTCGTAATGTCGTGAATTGGTGAATGTGTCTGAGAGATTGTAATAAGTGATAGGAATGGAGGGGTTGAAGTCGAGGCAACAGCTGCCCGCGCGGAATTATCGCATATTGGTCCGTGCGCATATATTTTCTATGATCTCCAAATCCAATCTCCAGGAAATTCGATGGCGAACAGGAGCACCATAGCGGGGTTCCCTCATCCAATGATTCAGAACAAGGTATGACATTATAGTAAGAAGTTGAAGATGAATAGTCTTTGGCCTGCAGCACGCAGTTCGTGCTTACAAACTTGGGTCACTCTACAAACATGTAGTACAATTGATGGTTTAGCCTCGAGGCTCGCTCATGGAGCTATACGACCATATTCGATATCCTCGACGCCTTTTCGAAGGAGGGGTATAGGCGCAGGGAGACTAGAAATTGAAAACCGTGGCTGGTCAGGAGCACTAGGGTTACGATGCTCGAAGAGGTTTTATGCCTCGAAACGAAGGGCTTCAAGGATTCCAAAGAATTCGACATTGTCCAGGGAATTGCCTTCGAAGAAATTATCTCCAAAAGCTACGCTTGGAAAGCCAATATATACAAGATATGAGCAACTACCAGCAGACTATGAAGATCAAATGGGTCTTGATTATCGAGAGGATCCAATTACAGAGGAGGAAATCCAGGCGATTTTCGGACGTGTAATGGATATAGATTCGGCAGAACGATTTTTGAGAGTTATACATGGACGAAGAGTAGCGGGAACGCTACCAGATCCGGAAGAACCTAGTTCCTTAGCATACTGGGAGGAAGTTGCACAGAAAAACGCATTAGCATGGTTAAGAAAGAATGTTCCAGTGGATGAGGACGAGAACGCAACATTGCGAGCCGAACAAGAACTAGCCGAGATTGAGGGGGAAATCGTTTCAGACTCTAAAAGAATTGGGATATATGTGCCTAATGTTGGAGGTGGTGTGACGAGAGGGGGAAGAATCAATCTCAATATGTACAAGCCAAATGATTCGAATGCGCCAGCAGAAGAGAAAAAAAGTGTATATGGTGATAGTGGATTAGATGCCATCAGGAAAGCCAATCAAGCAAAAGCTGCCGCTTTAGAAAAGAAGAAGAAGCAAGAAGAGTTGAGCCAAGCAGATGAGATACGATACAATACTGGCACATTAGATCACGTCAAACCAAGATCACGAGTAGAACTTCGTCGAAAAGGTGAACATCCTTGGCTCAAACACTTTGAGAAAAAGGCTCAAGAAACTGTACCTGAGGTTATTCCCGAATTTTCTGCCTTTACTCGTCTTTGGCCTTCGGCTCTAGTTGTTCTCTTGACAGTGGGTGTCTCGTGTACATTGGCACATTTCTACATACCCCCTCTCCGAGACTCTCGCATGTTTCCAGAAATTCCACCCGCGGTTGTCACAGTCTCTGCACTCATCCTGGCTAACACTATGGTGCTTTTCCTCTGGCGTGTGCCACCTTGTTGGACAATGCTCAACAAATACTTTATGATTATCCCCGCCTACCCTCGAGCATTATCAATGATTGGGGGTGTCTTTTCTCATCAAGCCTTCACTCATTTCCTCCCGAACATGGTTTTTCTTGCCATTTTTGGAGTTGATCTTCATGATGAAGTTGGTCGCGCCAATTTTCTCGCCCTGTATTTCTCGATAGGTGCTGTATGTTCTTTTGCTTCAATGGCAGGATGGGTATGGAAAAGTGCTTTTATTTCATCAGGTCTTGGTGCTTCCGGTGCGGTATGTGGTGTTATGGCTGCAGACTTGTGGTATAAAAGAGACAAGGGTATCAGCTTTTTTGGGCTCACTCCATCGATCCCCTCATGGGTAGCACTAGTAATGCTATTTGGGTCGGAAGTCTTGGCTTGGAGGAGAGCGAGCAGCGCTGCGGGCAAACAAATCTTGGATTATCAATCGCATGTTACGGGATATGTTGGGGGCATGGCTGGTGCAGAAGTGATTCGATGGAGGGATAGAATCAGGAAGAGACAAGCTGAGGAGAGGAAGATGCAGATTGAGAAGGTGTTGAAGTGACGACTGAGAGGTAGAGAAGCAGAGTGTAAGATACCGAAATGTAATTCTATTTGAAAACTGGCTTGAGATGACTCTTCGAATGTCCTTGGAAGAGAAGCAAAACTCATAGAATATAGATCGGGTAATAGAAAAGTGTATATAGAATAGAAAAATGGAACCCCGCAACTCTATGTAAATGCTCGTCGGCAACATCGTCTAGCTCCTTACATTTCCAGCCATACCCCGCTGAAAACTTTATGAATATACGTCAAGATTACTTTTCAAATTTCTATTCAGCTTGTTTCGACGCAGTATTAGTTTCCATTTGAGCTTTGGATTCGAATTCATTGAGAGGGTAAGTTCGCAACATGCCGGACATTGACACCGTACACATGATCAAGTCCTTCTCTAAGAATGTGAACCATAGAGATTATGGTCTGCTCTTGTATAACCCAAGACATTGTGATTTTACAGAAGGAGAGGATATCGCATTGCCACATTTCACAACTGGGCGTTTGGTAATGCGGAAATTAATCATTGGGCTGAAAGACTAATGGGAGGTGTGTTTTCCTCAACATAGATAATCCAGGTCTTGATGAAATGAAATTCCTGGACTAGCGACCAGTTTACCCCGTGGATATGAACATGTATACAAGAAACTCAACGTCTTTGTACAATTACAGCCTTCTAAATATTTTGTATTTGAATTATCTTCAGATATTAATAATGTATGGTCGAATGTACAGGGCAATGCTGATGGTATCATTGTGATTGTGCTAGTCCTAAAATAGTAGGTGGGCTGGTTTGATGACTAAGATTTCTTTCGACGTCAAACGTCGAAAAAGAAAGGGCGAAGAAAGGAGAAAGGAAGGAACGGGAATGAGAAAAGAGTCAAGAGACAGGAATATTTGCTGGTAAATTGCTCGATACGGTAGCTGCGTATTTTGATTGGTCGGGGTGAGGAAAAATGTAATCTCAAGATAAATTTTTCCTCACCCCAAGATAAAGAGGAAAGAAAGAAGATATGACTAACTGACTGATTTTGTAACATATATTGTGTAGGATGTTAAGACCTTAGTTGGTAAGTCCAATAAACCTTTTCTATCGAGATAATGCACTGGTGTGGATGATGAGGCTTGCGTTTGTAAGAATTTGGGAGGGCGAATGCTGTAAGGTCTTCATTGGTAAAGTTTGATAGACTTTTCCATCACAATGTTGGTTTTAGCAAGGAGTGTTTCGTTTGTAAGTTGGATGAACGAATTAGAAGATACTTGGTGATGGATATCTGCAGCAGCCATCAATACCTTCAAGTGGCTCGGTTAGGCTCGGTGTCGTATTGCAGGCAGGCTGCATATGGCGAGGTCGTTTGTTTGTTGGTCGTCTCGGGTTGGCAGGGACAGTTCCAGTAAATATATGGATTTGATAATTCGATGATCGTAGGTTGAGTTTCCTGTGTTTTCCTTTTCTTCGTTGGAAAGAGATGCTGCAAGGTGGTGTCTCGGCCATCATACTTAGTGAGATGTCCACTGGTTCTTCTTCATATTAGAGTCGAATGTCAAGCATGATAATCAAGTGGTATATCCTATAGAAGTAATGAAGGTATCTCGATTGGTATCTCTTGAATCTTGACGGTAAAAGTATCGCTCGTCATATTTGCTGGGCTACTGTTGAGCCTAAGCTTGTGAATGATAATATATGACTTCATTTTGCTCAGTAATCTCTGCTTCTTGAAAAGCTTTAGCCGTTGTTAAACTCGGAGCGGAAGCGGGAGTGGAAGACGGGTATAGGCAGATATAAATCAAATGGAGATAAAAATCGACTCGTACATTAGCATCCAAGTCAATATGCCATAGTTGGCGGGAGAATGCATAAAATGATTTGAATAGCTGAGTATGCATGATATCGTACTCGAATGGATCCTCACCCAGGAAGTAAACTTACCAGGTGGGTAGTAACCTGTTCAAAGATGAAAGGCGTGATGGACGAAATGAATCAGTAAGTTTCCCTAAAAAAAGCCTCATTTATTGATAGGTATTGGGTATTCAGATACCCAAACGCCCATTTGCTTATAAAGTTCTAATTGGAAGATTGAAAAGTGATATGGGGTACATATCCCGTGCAAGGCAGATTTAATTGTTATTTTGGTTTCGCGCTAGTGGGGCGGGGGGTGTTGAGACTTCACCTCCATCTTACAAAATTATTTTCACTTTAAATTTGAATTTCTATAAGATCCATTCCATCTTCTCAAAATTTTCGTTTGATTTGTCTAACAACTTCGTCACACTTCCTTATACTGTGGAAACAATTACTTTTCTACATTGTTCCAACTTCACCACTCGATCAACGACTACACCATATCGTGTTAGTCGCCATGGCGACAACGAATTCCGTTGTCGAATCGTTGGTCAACCACATTGTCCTCCCTCCACGGCTCCCAGGGAGGGATGACAGAAACGAAGGATTGGAAGGTGCTATATTTGACCATTTCATCACGGCTTCCAGGTCGATGAGAGGCATCACGAGGGGAAAATTGTCCGAGAATTGGGATTGGATTCGTCGATCATTGGAAACGGCGAGAGTGTTAAATACTAGAGGAAGACTGTCAAGAGATACGCTCTTGTCTGAGTTCCAATCTCTCCAGAAAAATGTCTATTTAATTCTCAACATTGCGGAGCAGAACGCAGCTCTACTAATTTATCGGTATGTCTCAAGCCATTAGAATCACAATCTAAGCCAGCAGCCTGTTTTCTAACTCGATCTAAAAGTACTGAGGAACGTGTAGTCTTCGAGTCTTTCGAGACATCGGCATCCGCACAGGATGTCATGGCTGCTGAGAATGCCTTAGAATGGAGTTTCCCTGGGTATGCCGTCGACCTCCCTTTGTCGACATTCAGCGAATCCAGTTTTTTAAAAGAGTTGGCCGTTTTCTTAGAGCAATCCAGCACCGAGTCAGTCAAACGATTCGCTGCGAGAACATCTAAAGCTGGTTCTCTGGTCATTGAGGAACGAGACACTGCTTCGTGCGCCCTCATATCTCAAATGCTCATGACGCTATTGGAAGGAAATGGCCGGAGAATATATCCTACAATTCTGAAGAAGCGCATTCGAGACGATGTACTATGGTTCAATGCTGCAAAGCCATGGAGACGAAATCCCTTATATCTCGTATTGCGAGTCGCCATACAAAGACAACTATACTCAATGTCAGATTCTGGCCGGACACAGTACAAATTCATGAGATGTCTAGCAATGGCACAACTTCTTGAGCTTCACATGTACAACATCAGTCTCGAATCACTATCATACTTGAAAACCAAACTTTGTCGACGCCTTGCCAAGCTCGAAAACGATGACGTCAAAGCATCAACTTCTCTGGGAGCTGTGTACGAACACACCTTCAAGGCTTTGAGGCCTAATTTCCAAAATGCAATTCAGCGGGCCTTAGAACGGATTGAATCAGAGTGGCTAGCATTCAAGCGGTCTAATCAACGACCAGTTATGACACTTCCAAAACGCGCTGCGGATCGTGATTTATACTTAACACTTCCCAACAGTGGCCGTTACCTACAGCGCATCATGGATGAAGCTCTTCGCCCACCTCCACAGTTTCATAATTCCAAGAAGAAAATCGACGTATCTGCAGCTGCTTCCAGGAAGATTGGCAGTTTCGGAGACCGATATATTGCTCTTTGCGATATGGAGATTGGTATTGAGTCGAGACATCATTCTCCATCTGCCATCAACCTCGACAATCAATCACGATGCAGGGAGATCTCAAGAGAAATACATAGGTACATCAAGGAATCCGAAGGCGCTTATTCTGTCAACTCCGAAGAACGTTCCATAATGTTGTTGAGCATCATGGAGCTTTGGATCTTTATGGATGAATATGAATGCATTCTCTATCCATTACTTAAGAATTATCATCCTCTCTTCACGCCCGAGATGATGGATGTTTTGCAAATATCTCTGAAAAAAGACATGTATAGACTACAAAAAGTTCAGAAGTATATACAAAATCGCTGCAGAGCTGCGGTCGGTAACGGAGGACACAGAACCATATTCGAGGATCCAACACAAGGATGCTTTGCCGACCGCTACTTTTTCGAGTCCGATGAAGCTCCAAGGCTGCAAGAGCTTCTTGAAGCTATAGAGCTTGATGCTGAGCAATCACGCGAGAGAAAATTAGCAGAGTGGTTGAAGGAGAGTGAAAAGTATGACAATATTATTAAAATGATCAACGAAAGCACCTGCATATACACAATCGACGGACACAGCCCAAGTTGTCCAAAATGCTTAATGGAGAATCGGGCCAAGTCCTTTAGGATCAAGGTGAGAGAAACCCCACTGCGATATGTTGCATCTTTGGATTTAGTAATTAATAGGACATTGATGATTTATAAAACTATAGGTATACGAGCATCCTTTACCCTCAGATCCCATTCAAAAAAGAGCGGTGATCTTCGAGCTATCTTGCCCTTCGGCATTTTCAGTTTATCGAGACACAACCTGGAAAGTCCTGATCGCTTTGGCTTTTCCAAAAAATCAAGGTGTTTTCACGGAACCTAGAGTAAGCTCTTTCCACATAGTCTCCAATGAATTGAATTATACCATGAGTGAACAAGATTAATTGTAACCCAGGTCCTTTTAAAAGATTATCCGGGACTCTCGGGATATATGAGGAACACAGAACATGGGATTTCATTAGGATCAACTAGGAAAATATTTCACAATACTCAGTTAGTTGGCTCTTCCATGGCACAAGCCCACGCGCAAACTTGGACAGCAATCACTGACCCGTGTCTAGTTATCGCACCGTTTTATTCCCTGTTGGTATTGATGATGTGTGTCCCTCCAATACCCTGAGATTATCCTACTACGATTTTCGTTCTCAACGATGGCTAAGTCGAGACTTTAAAAATCAACGACCATCATTTTCGCATCATTTCAACTTCACGTTGCCTCAAAGCTCACCATTTTCGGTGCTTACGCAAGGCGTGTCTGTCAATACGGATGGCATTTCGTCGTACGAAGTCATTGCAAGTCAATCAAAATGCCCCAGAGGTCTCAATGTTCACGAGTTCATGGCCTACCAAGCACTAATCTCAGGCAAGACCCGCCGTCTTACACAATTGTTGGTAGAGCTTGGTTCTCAGAATTTGAACTTCAGTACCGAATCAATGGCTATCTTAGTTTCGCGTTTAATACTCGAAGCTGGACCTAATACTGAGAGTGATTATTTACGTGTCATTCATCAATCATTCCGAGATAACAATTTCTGTTGTAGGATGTTGGAGCAGTTAGATCGGAGACTGAAGAATATCAGGACAAACTATCGTGAGAATTATTCCATGCAGACGATATTGACCATAGTTCTACGCATCAAGGAGCTGGCGGCACCCAGTATTGTCAAACTAGCCTCCGAGTTACTCGAAACTGCTCGGTCAATCACTTCATCTTGGGTGAAGATCCTCAGAGAAGAAATCAAGCAAGCAGTTGATTCTGATGCTGCTTCCAGATGCCAAACATACTGCCTATGGGCTGCTCTTCTCTGCCGACGAACACTTTTCAACCATGACAACAAAACATTAGAGCCTGCTGCACTTCGTTGCTTTATCGAATGCTCAATTACGCTACAAGACAACCTTTCCAATGACCCTGCGCTGGCCCCAATCGGGCTCAGGAATGCTATCATTCAAGACTTGAAGGCTGTTTATCACATGCGACATGCTTTACGCGAATCTCTAATTGCAAGCCCTGAGTCCCTGCTACTAGCAGTGGGTATTGTATGGCCTTTACCAGAAGGAAGTCAGCCGCGTGTATCATCATCTTTGGTTTTTGATTGCCCTGAAAAGTGGTGGGTTTATGCGAAAGTCATTGGCTCGTCTTTCATGAAGGAACAGACACTGAGTTTTCATCTATTCTACGGCTACCTCTTGATAGACGGCCAACCGCTAGGGATGCTCCCTGCCGAGTATAGAGCCTCGGCTGTTCTTCGAGACCTCTTTGGTGATGTTAACCTTCTCACTTTTCCTTCTTCTTTGCCTGGCTCCCAGTTTCAATTGACAAATGATCAATTCGGTCATACCATCCATCTTGGTTCCCGCGACGGAAAGGTCGTTGTGCGAGCCTGTTCGGGAAAGACTGTTCTGGAACTAGTACCCAGCAGAGTATTTCACACCGATAACAACTTTGATTTACCAAAATCCCTAGTGCTTGATTGTATTCAGTAAGTTACTTGACGTTCCATGCGTAAATTTATTAAAACTAACATAAACAAGCTGGCTCGACTTAACCACGGGGATTGTCGAAATTCGACAGAAACCACATATTTGGAGGTTCAAAGATGCCAACTGGCAGCTGAATGTACGAACTCGCAATGCTTGGCGTCGATCCTCCTGTTTAGTCGATCCATTTAGCACAACATTCAGACGCGTTCACAGGATCCTTGAGTATTTTGAGGAGCCTGGTCACTTGACAGTTTACCAACCGTCGAGAAATAATCTCACCGTCGAGCTCAAACGTCTCTCCTTATCTTTCACAGTCAATCAAAAGAAGTATCTTGCATCGTCACAGCTACATGCAGAAATAGACGCGGATCAAGACTGTGGAACTTGGTATGGACTACGAAGTAAAATTGTACTGCGCGATACTATCAATCCACGAGTGCGTAGTATTCTTGTACCAATGCCTGGTAATGATCCTAACAGTGTGAAATCTCGATGCCATGGAATACATGTTCAAGTACACATTGAGAACAATGGAGATTATGGTCGCTTCTTCGTTAATGATACCTTGGGGCGTATCGATTGTCCAGCCGAGCCTTGGCAGCTTTACACCAAAGCCTTACTGCACAGTATGACATCTTTCCTCCTACCAGATATTCTGACCAAGCGTACCGGAACAGAGGAGGCTGTTGCCTGTTTGAAATCCGGTCTTTACCAGCCTTGGGCGCCTCTCAAACTAACATCGCGCTTGTGTCTTTTGAAAATCGCGAGGCTCAGCCCAGCCAGGGGTATTACCCGGAAGACGGAAAATCTATGCAGAAAGTAGAATGGAATGATAAATGGACAACTACTATTCAATACGACGGCTACGAATCGATAGTTCAAGAATTGATGGACAAAAGTGACAACTTAGAAAAGTTTTCTCAAGAGAAAACACAAGGAATTCTGGAGCTGAAGGGAGCGCGACGACAACATCTTGACAATCGAAGTTATACCCGCTTGAGACTTTTCAAGCGCCACGATGGGTTTCTTGAGAACCACATGATAGCTCCTGATCTTGTGTATGATTCAAGAGACAAGTACTGCGCTAGCCAAAGACGCAAAAATGTCTTAGAATGTGTTGACCATATCATACAATGGCCTCAAAAAACACATGCCTTGGCAGATTTGGGTGGAATGCTGCAAAAATATCCCAATTTGAAAGGTTTCCACACAGAGCCTAGGAGAGTTCTATTGTCAGATCGTTTAGATGTTGATTTTAGTATATCGTTCGGCCCATTGTATCAATTTTGTCGACAAGCTTCCGTCGACGACAAGTTTCGACTTCAGTTCCAATTTTCTTTGATGTCATTTCGTGATGATATCGATATGGATCTGGTTAGGGTATTGCTGGCGTGCTCTGTATTGGAAGACCTGAAAAAATTGGATCCTCCAACCTATCGGAATTATGTCCACTTTCGTCTAAATCAAATCCCGCACCTTGCATACATCATACAATTGCTAAAGCCGTGCCGCATACCCTACCCGCAAGACTTCCGTAATACTTTTGGCGGATTCAAGTTACACACAAAACAGCGCAAGAATCTCGAACGTCAAGAACATCAGTACGAAGCCCAGACAGATACTGATTGTGAGCTATTTGCGAAGTTTTTGCTTGCTCAATGGCCGTGCCTAGAACCTTCCATTGTCGAATTTTCGACTCCTGTGAATGTAGATATCACCAAAGCTATGAGCATTATCCTCGACGATTGGGCAAGAATCTTCCAGAATATGGAGCTCTCTAAGTATCTTGAGGAAGTTCAAAAAGTGCTTTTTCGAGCTTATAGTGGGACCAAATTTCAGTTGCCAAATATGGAGGTTCAAAAACAAATAGTACATGGATCAAGAGTTCGAGGCAGTGAATTTCCCATGCTATCAAGAAATTTAATGCGAATGCCATGCAAGGTCATGATGTCATCTATGGTAATAGCTCCGCCTAACATACAAGCCGAAATATCGAGTCACAATGGCCATATAATCTCTCAAGAAGCGTCTCTTCTCGAGCGCATTGTTTTAAGTAAGTCATATAAGAAATCACATTTTTTCTTGATCGAAATCCATGATGTACACATGGAATCTTACTGATGTTAGTTATCTTAGATCTCATGGGCAATGAAGCCTCGTTGGTGCGCCAAAAATATGGACAGGGACTGCTGCAAAGCCTGTCTTCATTCAAATTGTTTGAGCAGATTCCGAAAGGCGGTAGAAAATTTGTCGACTCTCTGAAGCTTTCTAGTGATATAGACAAGACTAGAAGCGCGATAAGAGAAATTTTCATGGAAATATGTCGATCATTTGACAGCCCGAGTGCTGCATGGTTACGACCAGGAGGGTTATACCCATGTGTTTCAACAATAACACTGCTTGAAAATCTACGTTCTACCTGGAGCACCGAAATCAACTTTGGGAGTGGCATGAGAGAGTCTTTGATAAACTATGCTTTACATATCACAGAACTTCAAAGACTACTCAGAATTGAAGAAGCATTCTCAAAGGGTGACACACAACGCTTGATTGAAGAACAGAATAATCCGGGTCATTCAAATTGGCAGCCGATCGAAGAGCCTGATTGGCTTTTGATCGAGGTGGAAGCGAATGTTCTTATTCGGCCTGATCAAGTTGACGTGGCCAGAGCTACAATTTCTCCGAATTCTAAATCAAATTCTGTTTTACAAATGAATATGGGACAAGGAAAGACTTCAATTATTGTACCTATGGTGGCTTGTAAGCTAGCCAATGCCGAACGTCTCGTGCGAATCATTGTGCCAAAGCCATTATTGGTGCCAACTGCACAGTTGCTGCAAGCACGTCTCGGATCTCTCTTGGGCAGAGGCACCGTCCACGTACCATTCTCAAGAAAGACTCCTACAGATACAGTGAAGACTTATTTCAATTTACACAAGGCAACTCTTCAAAACTCAGGTATCATTATTGCTTTGCCGGAGCATTTACTATCATTCCGATTATCTGGGCTTCAACGTCTTTCGGATGGCCATGTAAATGAGGGGAATTCAATGGTGAAAGTGCAGCAATGGCTAAATAATCGTTGCCGAGATGTGATGGATGAAAGCGATCAAATTCTCTCATTGCGCACACAGCTAATATATCCAAGTGGTGCTCAGAACTCGGTTGACAATTATCCTCATCGCTGGGAGACAGCTCAAGCTTTGCTAGCTCTGGTAGAAGGTCATCTATACAATCTCGAGAAAGCTTATCCTCATAGTATAGAAGTTGTTCGAAGAGATTCTGGAGGCTATCCTATGCCATTTTTCCTCCGAAGAGATGTTGAAGAGGAGCTACTGAGTAGGCTTGTTGCAGATATATGTATTGGACGAACATCAATTCTGGATATGTCTCGATGCTCCAGATTGGATCGCATAGCCATTAGGGATTTCATAACAAAGCCCAAGGTTACGACAGGGGTATCTAAGATTGTGAAAGAGATATTTTCGGATAAACCCGCAATGAAACGCAATCTCTTAAACGTCCGCGGTCTGTTAGTACACCGAATATTGTTGTTAGCGCTAAAAAAGAGGTGGCACGTACAGTATGGTCTTCACCCCAATAGAGACCCTATTGCGGTTCCATTCCATGGCAAAGGTGTACCCTCAGATCAAGCTGAGTGGGGCCACCCAGACGTCGCAATACTTCTTACTTGTCTAGCATTTTATTATGATGGACTAAGTAACAAGCAATTGCATCAAGCCCTTGAGCATGTTCTCAAATCAGACGACCCGGCGTCGATATATGACCAATGGTCCATGAGCTGTTCTGTACTACCTGATACGCTGCGGGATTGGAACAGTATTAATCTTGAGGACGAACAACAAATGCTTGAGCTATGGACGTATTTCAATCTATCTCCAGTAATTATCGACTACTACTGTAACAATTTTGTATTTCCGGCACACGCCAAATCTTTCAGTTTCAAACTACAAGCCAGCGGCTGGGAGATCCCTTTATCATCAGCGGACAATCCAAATTCCATTACGACAGGCTTTAGTGGCACCAACGACAATAGAAACTTACTACCGCTCACCCTCAAACAGCAAGACTTGGAGAGACTTGCCCATACCAACTCTGAGGTTCTTACCTACTTGCTTCAGCATAGAAATCGGCGATATGTAGTTGCGGCTGACGAACGCGGCCGGCATCTTTCCGAGATTGATTTATTACGCAAGATCTCAAATCTGAACATCCGAGTGCTCATCGATGCTGGAGCACAGATTCTCGAGTTAAGCAATGAGTCGCTTGCAAGAACATGGCTTGAGATTGACACACAAGCAAAAGCCGCCGTTTACTTTGATGAAGCAGGAAAGCCGATGGTGATCCATAAGAAGTACAGACCGGTGCCGTTATCAGCTTCACCATATTCCGATGACTTAAGAAATGTCGTTGTTTATCTTGATGAAGCCCATTGTCGTGGAATTGATTTGAAAATGCCTGCTAATGCTTGTGGAGCGCTAACCCTAAGTGAGTTCATAATTTTCGAAAAAGAAATGACGCCGACACTAATTTCCAATAGGTCTTGGACAAAGCAAAGACAATACTGTGCAGGCAGCAATGAGATTGAGGCAACTCGCGACTACTCAATCTGTTATATTCTTCGCACCGCCTGAGGTTAATCAAAGCATATTGGACTGTGTTAAAAAGACCCATGGCAATCACCTGGACTCGTACGACGTCATTTGTTGGCTTCTGGAGCAGACATGCATAGGTATCGAGCTTATGCAGCCACTTTATTATTCTCAAGGCATTGATTACTGCCGCAGAGTTCAGGCTGCTGCTGATAATGTAGATTTCCTCACCAACGCAGAACATCGAAAGCAGTATTTAGATACCCTCAGGCAAAAGGAGCAGCTTTCTTTACATCAACTTTACGGAATTAAAACAAAAACTAAGGCTGTGATTGGTACTAGCGAATTGGCCCCCAAACAGCCAGTTCTGTCAAAGAGCTCAATACGATGCGTAGAAGCTTTCGAGATACAGGCGATGCTGTTCATCATACCGCTCTACAAGAAGTTGAGCAAGAGAGAGAAGTTGCCTACGAAGTCGAAACTGTGCGTGAGGTTCAGAGACCTATTCACTATACCGCTTGGTCATTCCCTGGCCTGGAAAAGGACATTGTAACCTTTGTCAGAACCGGCCGAATTCCAGCAGGCTCCGCAGTAAGTTCAATCAACTCGCCGATTGGCTTTACCCTACTATCTACTTCTGTTCCCCGATGTCAAACTCCCAATTTTGTATTCCATTCCATGTACCCATTTTGATACCTGACTAATCTATTGCTTTCTAATTATCCCCCCAAAAAACTTCATTGACAAGCAATACTGACTGACCGGCCCTACAGTGTTGTGAATACGCTTTTATAGCTCTGAGCAAAACCGGCATTGGTAGGAAGTTTGAAATCAACGCTGAAGCTCTCAATTCTCGACTACTTGTGTCTAAAGAATTCATGCGTTCTGTTAAAGTGATTCAACCACATGACAATTTTCTGGTAAGTTGGCTCTATGTCTGTGACAGTCTGTTTGGAGAACAATTCCTTCTGCAAAATTCGTTTTGAATCTTAGATGACCTTAGGGGTTTCAACGGATATGAGAGACTATTACACTTTCAAAGTTTATTTGAGTTCGGAAAATGTTTTATCTTTACAAGTTTGCTAACATTTATTGTTTAGCGTCAAGTTAATTGGGTTCTGTGGAGTCCTGTAACCGAAACCGCATTAGTGGTAATACCTGAAGAAACGGAGCTCCTCATTCCAATTCTTCGTGACTGCCTAGCTCCTGCGTGTTTTCTCTTGACTTATGCAGCTCCTACGACCCGCAAGATGCTTATTAACTTCAATGATCTCCAATATTATGCTATACCCTCACTTTTAAAGGACTGGGCTGCGCCGACATGGTTATCAATACAGTTGGGTATTTTTTCGGGAGCTCTTTACTTTGAATACCCTCAGTATGAGTATCTTCGTGGATTCTTGGGATTTGGAACAGAGAAGACTATGGAGGAGTTACAAGAAGGCTGCTTGGAAGATGAATGCCCTGTTGTTGATGGGAAAGCTACTCAAAATGACAACGGAAAACATCATACCTCCGTCGGCTTTACATCCAGACCTCTAACATTCCTGCAAGAATGGTTGAGTGTTAGGCGGAAAGGCCAGGACTTTTCCCATACTCCCATGGGATATGTTTGTCAAGGCAAGGCCCTTACCGAAACTCATCCATTTTTCAGTAAGAACGAACTGGGCGCCACCGCAAAGCTCACCCAGCCCAATCGCAGAGGATTATCCAGCTCAAAGGGAGCTCTAGCGAGCACTACTTATGACGATGACCTTAACGATGATTGGGCAGACATGAACGTCGATGAGAATGGAGTAGCAGTGGGCAATGACAATAATTCTGAGGACGATGATCAGTATGAGGATGAGGAGACTAGTAGTGGAAGTGTGTTTACTGATTCAGAGGGTGGATTTTAAGAGATCGAATACTTCAATATTTATTTTTCGTCGGCATATTGAGCGGGTCTAGAATATTTTATGTATTAAACATCATTGCTTTAGTGTCTTAAAAATATAAAGTGTTTTGATAATGTGGCTATGTGTGACCTAAACGTACTCGACGTATTCCAAATAATGAAACGCTTCTTCACAATGTTGCTCACTCCATTTAAAATGTGCGCGAAATTCTTCCGGTCATGTAAGATTACTTTGCATGGGATAACAACCACAACCACAACCACAATTCATAGCAGATTCCTTTTTCCGCTCCATACCTTCCTCAACCATTACATAGAAATCCCCTCCTCACATGACAACACAACTTTTCTGACCTTTCGCCAAATATTCTCTCAAACTGGTAAACATCCAATTTCGTTCCTCCCATGCAAGCACCCCCATCTTCTTCCAATCAACCTGCCCTGCAAGACTTTCTTTCTCCTCTCCAGCCTTCCCGTCTTTCCCATCACCATGTTCATGATAAGTTTCCTTTGCCGACACCCACGTAAGCCAAATACTCCAGACCCTGCATTTTCGACCCTCATAATGCATTTCTGAAGAGAATACTAGAGATGAAGAAGGCATAACAATTTCACCCTGTCGCATCCCACTTACTTTCCCCTCTCGCTCAAGTTGAATTGATTTTACATCAAATATTGTCTTCAATTTCTGGATTTTTGTTTCCCCACCATCTTCATTCGCATTCCCATCGACATTAGCATTATCATCAGACTCAAAATCCAGCGGTACATGGATCAAAAGTTGCTGTACGGGATATCCAGCAGGATCATAGACTCCTTTCTCAGACGTCTGAGTAATTTTTGGCGCGATGGGGAAGTAAGGGAGGTGGGGTTCTAGGATCTTGGTGAGGGTTGCTAGGGTGTGGGAGTCTGGATTTGTTAATATTATTATCATTTAAGTATTTTATTCTCTCATCAGAAGATTCTTTTCTCCCAAAATGATGGGGAAAATTATATAAAGTCGGGAATAGTGGGAGATGTAAGTAGAGCATTACTCACGAATGACGACAAGTCCACTGTCCACGGGATCATGCGTAAGGCCTACGGAATCAGCTTCTGATAATTCAGAATGGGTGTCGGAATCAGGCGGAGTGTTGGAGAGAGCTTTGATGACTTGGGTAAAGTGTTTGAAGGTGTCTTTGGTGGAAAGATCTATTTCAAGGAGGTAGGTTGGCATGGTGGGTGGTGAGTGGCGGGGTTGTGGGGTGAGAAGTGGTGAGACCTGAATGGGTTAGAGAAGGAAACGTTTATCACTTTCTTTCTTGCGTTTCCAGATCAATAATTTGGTTGTAGGAATGGTATTTGGAGGTTTGAGTTTGGTGAGAGAGATTCTTTTATATCGATATCGTGATGATTTCTGGGTGCTGTAGGCAGGCGAATGAAATGAGGCTGGTGCTTATGGAGTGGGGGATTGGGATGAAGGATTATGTACAGTCAGCAGGTACGCAATTATCAAGATTAATGAAGGGATAGATGTATTATTGTCATTGTCGGATTTTTGAATGCAAAACATAAGTGAATTAAGATCTTCTTGAAGGGGGTGCGTTTGTTTCTTGGTGGGGCATGGTGTTTACAGGTGCAGTATCGCTAATCAAGCGCTAAGATTTTGAAAGGGGTACTGTTTCCCCAGCGAAGAAATTCCTATATGATGATGATTGAATATGCTTATTATCGTTGACCTAAAAACAAATGGAACAGTACAAGCAGTGAGTAGTATCCCATTCAGTAGGCCCAATTAAACCTTTCATCCGATGTCCATGAACACCAACCGTTGATTCGCCTTCCCTGACCTTGTGGTATACCCTATGTTTAGCCTGTTGCAACTCCTCGTCCATATTTCATTCGGTGTGAACTTTTTTATCTCCATTCCAGATGCCCAACGCCGCCATCTAGCCAGAATAATGTGTACCTCTGTCCCCCCAAGCTTCATCATCCCTCCTCTCCATACTAGCCTTATGTATCTCATAATCCTCTTCATCTCTACCTCTATCTCCAGAATGAGTCCTTCTTCCCCTAATGCTCTCAAAATCTTCTCGCACGTCCCATTCAGTGGTACGTCTAATAATCATCTTATCACTTCCAAGTGTACTCCTTTCCGCGGCATCATCTGGCGTTGAACGTCTAATATGCGCAAATGTCATTGCTCCGTCAGGTCTCAATGTGCCAAGTTCCTCACCTTCATGACTCAGCTTCCCATTCACATTTGTATTATTGAATCTAATGTTAAACATAGGTGACGACCTCTTGAGATTTGAATTTGGAGATGTGGTAGTAGGAGTAGAGATCTCGTCATCTTCATCGTAGTCTTGAAACGTTGATACGGTGCGAAGCTCTTGTGGTGGCCTGGAAGAATTCTTTTTGGAGGCTTTCCAACCAGATCGTGAAGAGATCAAGGTGCTTAATTTCGAATTGGAGGGAGATTGCTTGTTGCTGTAAGATGAATCCATTGGATTTACAGATGCGGCAAGAGCACCGGACGACATTGATTCCATAAATGGTTTGAGGAACGATAAGCATGCGAAGAAAATGGCAGAGTTTAGTTGGACGGAGGTCCAGAGGTAATTGCGATATGAAACGAGTGTTTGATTTGGAAGCGTGGGAGATCCAGAAGAAGAAATCACGACGAGTCGCACTATTGATAAGGGTAAAATGCTGCCAGATCATTAAATTATCTACCTCGAATAAGGATACCAAATTTCCACTTACAAAATTCTGGTTCCAAATGCTATGAAAACAAGGGCTTTACGCCTCAATGGCATCTGAAGTTTCCAAACGAGAAATATCGGCAACAATATGATGTCAAAATCAGTTGCTATTTCAAGGGCCCCGGTAGCTTTCCAGAATGCTCCCTGTTGTCGTTAGCCTTTTGCGCCCAGGCAGACACGGTGACTCAACTTACGATATTGAAACATTTATCGGTAGAAAGAACAGCCCAAGGGTTCGGCATGTCGCACTGGAACACGATTGAAAGCTCGGCGCTTAAAGCCCATAGTATCACGCACATCTCGGTAATTCGGTTGAATATTGCGTAATTGGAGTCCGGCGTTAAAGCTCGTAAGTAGAACAATGTACTTAGTTTCGCAAAGCAGAGGGTTGGAATATAAACCAATTGAGATATGTAAGCATACTGTCCCAAAGTCAGAAAGAATGCACAAATATTTTGAGTAGAGAATAGAATTTCAACAGGATATTAAACATCCTGAGAGGAACGAACCTTTTGGTAGTTTTCCAGCTCCTTCTTGTCGAGATTATCTTGATCCCGCCCAAGTCCATTATTAACCATCATTGAAAGAAAAACACTATGACAGATCCCAAAGAACTATATCGTTAGCACTGCTCTCAATATGTGACGTGCTGTTGTATGCTAACCATCGCAACGATGATCAAACTATCGTCTGTACTCCATCGCCTCACAACCATAAATTTACTCCCAAGCCTCGCTCCAACACTCAGTATCATTGTACTCAACCCTATCCATGATACAAGATTGACCGCAGGACCTTCGTTATGACTGGATATAATGATTTGCCGTGAGAATATGGATATCGATGTCATTGTCAAAATAATCCAGAGATGGTAAAGAATGTGGATGAATGGCAATGGAATGAGATATACATCTCTCCAATGTCAATAATTGCATATGTTTGTCGATCGCAAAAGAACTTGTAAGTTTCTGAGTCACGGAGTTGAAAAAAGAACTTTGCTGGAACAATGCAAGGGAGCGCAGCTTCGTGGTACATGTGGATGGCATTTGGAAAAAGTAATTCTGTAATCCTGACTTTTTGGGACTTACTCCTGGTCACTGCCAACTGTTGAAATGAGAATTATGCCCATAGCAGTGAGATCTATGACAAATCCGTTGATAAAAATGATAATCAACAAAACTTCAATCACTGGATCAGATATTCCATTCAATTCTATTCGGAAATTTGGTAACAGCTATTCGGAACTCCGTAGAGCCCGAGTTTTGAGAGCTTCTGAGGCGTCGCAACTGCAATAAGATCCCCTTGAGCACTTGCTCGCTCCTTGATCCCAGAAAGCAACACCACATTTTTTTCAAGCTGTGCCGCGAAATGACGATCATGCACGACAGAGTTGAGATCCAAGCAAATTTCTCCTTCTTAATTATCACCTTGGATGAAACGATTCAGGGTCCTCAACAGCGCCATGCGCGCTGATCAGGTTACACAAGATTGTCAACTGGGAAATAAATCGTGATGTTTGGTAACAGTAAGTCTAGATGCTTGACCTAATTTATCGTACGACTCTGGTTATACAGGATCTGTCATGTGATAATCAAGTGAAGATACAGAGCATAGTCTTGTACTTAGAATATGGAATATTGACATTTGCTTGCTCAGTCTGCGATCGGACAAGCCGATAAAAAGACGAGATAATTTCCAGACAGCCGGGAATCTTGTATTGAGATGTGAGAGATGATTTAATCAGTTCGTTAATTCGAGGAACAATAGTGGATGCATAGATTTAGCTTTGTGTCAGCCAAGTTCAAGAACATTCCGATATCACATTCAAAAAGCCGCCTAAGTGGCTTTATGCTCGTCGTTATAATAAGGTGAAATAGTAATAAATGTTGGACAGTTGGATGTGTATTACGGCGGCGATGAGGCGTCTATCAAATTAACCCTCCGCATGAACTAGCATTTACCGAACCCACGTGAAACGCTAACTTTGATAGGAAAGGCTTCCCCGCTCAGCCCGTTACCATTATGACTACCTAGTAGAAAGCCGAGAAAGCTAACATTGCTCCAGATTCTACGATTTGTTTCCTTCCAAGCTGGAGCGGAATATGATCAAAATGTATACTCGTATATCCCTTGCATCAGTCAACGTATCATAATATACAGACCATTTCGCTACTATCCGATGCATCGAATATTTACTAAAATGCTTGCAATGAGACAGTTTATCCTGTAGGTGGTGTCAAGGATTTGTTTTCTCCTATCTGCCACTCGGTGATCCATGCAAGGGTTTTGTTCTGCAGACTGCAGTGTATCTTGAAGAAGGGCAAATAACTCTCAATCCCCGTTATGATTTCCTTTTGCTTTATTTCTCTTCATTTCCATTGCTATTGTTTGTTGTTCACGAGCTCGCTCGGCGATTGGTATTTCCCCCGATAAAATCCTTTGATATTAATCATGGAAGACAAACATGTGGAATTGGGTGTGATGGCTAGGTCAACATCTTCTGATGAGATACCTCATGCCCGGTCGAAAGGTAACACCAGCAGAGATGACCAGGAAATGGCGTATTTTGGCAAACGTCAACAATTAAAGGTATGTGCTAAAGAGGAATACCATCATCAGAAGCTGACATAATGTAGCGTAACTTTGGATTTCTGTCGATTGCGGGGTTTGTCTGTAGTCTACTTTCAACATGGGAAGGAATGTTTGCTGTCTTCCTGTACGGGTTTCAAAATGGAGGACCGGCAGGCTTAGTTGTAAGTTTCCATCTTAGTCTCACCTCGACTCAAACTTTAGTAGCATATAGTAACCTTAGATGTCCAGTACGGTTATGTCTTTTGCTTCTTTGGTACATTATGTACCGTCGCAAGTTTAGCAGAGATGTCCTCCATGTGCGTATAGCCTTCCCTCGCGAGTTCATGAACCTGACAGACGGGCTCAGGATGCCATTGAGTGGCGGTCAATATCACTGGGTTTCGATTCTTGCACCCAAGTCCCACGCAAAATTCCTCTCATATATGACAGGCTGGCTTACAGTTATTGGCTGGCAAGCAGGTCAAGCAAGTGTGGCTTTCCTCTGCGCAACATTGATCCAGGCTTTAGTGATATTGAACCATCCAACTTATGTGCCTGAGAGATGGCAAGCAACCCTAATATTCTATGCTGTTCTGGCCTTTATTCTGTTCGTCAATACGTATCTGGCCCGTTGGTTGCCAAAGATCGAAGGATTTGTTCTTTGCGTCCATATTCTTGGATTTTTCGGTATCCTCATTCCTCTAGTTTACCTTGCTCCTCATGGTAAACCAAGCGATGTTTTTGCTACATTTATCAACGGTGGGGGTTGGTCGTCAAATGGGACGTCTTTCTTCATTGGTTTGATTACTTCCGTTTTCTCGTTTCTCGGTAAGATCAACTTCTTCATTCATCTCCACCACGTTCGCTGTCAGGACAGAGCTAACATTGCCTCAGGAGCCGATTCTGCTTGCCACATGAGTGAAGAAGTTCACAATGCCTCTACAGTCATACCCTGGGCGATGATCAGTAGTATTGTCTTGAATGGAGTTCTGGGTTTCGCATTGCTTATAGCTCTTCTATTCTGTCTCGGGGACATCGATGATGCACTGAATTCTGCTACTGGCTTTCCATTCATCGAGATATTTAGGGGAGCTACTAATAGCAACGCTGCTGCAACTGGTATGACATTAATCATCTTATTCATCCTCCTCGCCGCGGCAATTGGTATCATGGCGACTGCTTCCCGTTTATTATGGTCTTTCGCAAGAGACAATGGAGTACCAGGTAGCTCATATATATCTCGCGTAAGTATAATTATTCAAAGGATCTTGTCACTTTTGCCTAACTTTCCGACTACAGGTTCATGAACCAACGGCATTGCCCATATACTCCATTCTTGTCAGCGCAGTAATTTCACTCCTGTTGGCACTCATCAATATTGGAAGTACTGCAGCATTCAACTCAATCGTCTCTGTTAATGTCGCAGCATTTTTTACCAGCTATATGATCCCAAGTGAGTGAACCGTCCACTAATTCTTTTGCTTCTAATGCACCTACTTCTTTCCCCGATTGACCCTCCACTATTCTGTTTCATCCAAGATATTCTATCCACTTCAATACTTTATTGGTTCAGACTTGCAGGCTGTATGGAGTATCTCGAAGTTCAAAAGTAATTCAGTTCAATCTTTGAAACGATTCCAGTGATTCGAACCACTTGAAAGTTCTGATTGAATTCAAAGATTGAAAGCATCTGAATGCTCTGATTAGATTCAGGGATTCGGAGCCTCCCATTGTGGAACTGCATGCAGTCCAGGCTATCGGAAACCCTGTTTTATTTTCCAACACAAGTTCAGGTCTTGATTTTCCTCATATTGCTCCAAAATCTGTTCTTAATAGGCAATGTTAACAATCTGATCTTACAGTCATCTTGATCCTCAAGAAACGCCTTCGAAAAGACCCAATCAAAGACAAAATACATTGGGGACCATGGAAACTGGGCCCAATTCTTGGTCCAATTGCCAACATCGCTGGACTGATTTATTCGACGATTACCATGTTTTTCAGCTTCTGGCCTAATACACAAGTCGTTACTCCGGTTACCATGAATTGGTCTTGCGTCATTTTTGTTGCTGCTATCCTTTACAGCGTGGTTTTTTACATGATCTGGGGTAAGCATGCTTACAAGTGGCCAATTGTCGATCCTATCAGAAGACGGCAGTAGGTCTCTTAATTGCGGATGTCATTATATAGTACATCACATTGTTTTTATTTGGCGGATTTATCGATCATTTATTGGCTACTTGCATTAGATTATAGATCTTGTAGTTCTCATTAGACAATGGAAAGTTCGGCGCACTCGCAGACCAGCTTTTTCTATCTATCATAATTCACATTTTTCGTCGTTTATGCAATTTTCATGCAAGCCAGCTCTCACAGCACGCCACATCATTCAAATCCTTGAAAGAACTTCATACATCACAGAACACCGGACCAAAAAACACAGAAAGTTTCTATCTTTACACTTTATAAAATTAGGGCCCCATTTGATCCAGCATTTTGTATTATCGCGATCTGCCGATTGGGTTCCAAACTGTCGGAACCAATTCAATCATCTCTTTTAAAGCAAGCGAATTTGATGAAAGAAGAGTCCTTCGTATGATCAGAGCTTTCTGGGGCCTGGATAAATCGTTTTGCTTGGGAGTTCAAATAATCCAATCAGCAAATATTACATCACATTTGCAGCCACGCGTTCAATAGATAGTCGTCCTGGAACTATTATATGTCCGTACATGGCCCACACTAATTTACTTCCCCCTCTTTCATAAGCAAATTCACAGGGGTCACGATCTCATTGGCCTTGTCATAGTTCAACGGCTTATCCGTGCCAACAGGCTTGTTGATCCTCCCGCTCAGAATTATGCTTGTCCAATTTTTGCCTACTTCTTTTCTGTCTTGGTGACATCGCTGCTTTGTCACTCCCTGTGCATCAACTGATTTAAGCATACATTCCAAAAATTTGTCAAATTCGCACAGGGATTCAGGACTTTTAGATTATTTCCCCGGTATGAGAACTAAACCTAGCCTGTAAGAGCCCTGGAATCGATCACAGTAGTATTCTATAAGCCGATTTGCGGGTTACAAACGGGTGGCGTCTGAGTCTGTGTGTATGCATATTTCGAAATTGTGCTTTGATATGCCTTTATTGGTGGTTCATTTCATACTTAATTGCAATTGCCGGATCTGCGGTTCGTTCCGTAAGACTAACATTGCAAATTAATCAATGTATTGGAAGGGTGATCGTACATTTCCTATTCATGCATCATAGCTCTTAGCATAATCTGTTCATCTTCCGATCATATTCACCTCCATAATCCCCGCCATAACCGTCAAAGATGGCATCCCACCCCCCACCAGTATCCCTCATCCTATTCCCATTACCGGCTCGGAATTCAATCTCCGCCTTCTTCCCTGTGATCCACTGACGGATGGTCCAGCTATCCTCGCTCAACAGATTGCCGCGTTCAGTAACCCTCATGAACCATTCTTTTTTGTCTTATTTCCTGAAACAGAAGAAAGGGAAAAGGCAGTCAAAAGATTGGTTGATAATTGGGTGGGAGATGAGAGGGCGAAGTATGTGAAAGTTGTTGATGGACATGGTATGTTTGAGCTTCACTTCACTTCTCTGCTGTGCTTTTAAGTTGGGGGGTAATTGAAGAGGTTAAGGACACAAATGTAAAGAAAAATACTAATAACCGATTAAGGAACACTCATAAGTGCAGCCAAATGGCTCATACATATGGGACCATTGAGCGACGAACAGAAGAAAGAACGAATTACTGTTGACTGGCACGATAATCAAGATTCAAATGAATGGGCTGAGTATCTAATAAATTGGATTCATCAACACCAAATTAGTCGAACGAAAGGCGAACCTTGCGTCAGTGAGTTCTTTCTTCTCTTTCTCCTCCTATCTTGATCCCAATTTCTGATCACATCCATAACTTATACCCGCATTTCTAATATCTCGTAGTCCTTGACATCTTAACCACGCATCCCTCTTACCAACGTCTTGGTGCTGGTACCCTTTTAATGCAATACGGTACTGCCATAGCCGATTCTCTTGGTCTACCAGCTTATATCGAGGGGACGGTCATTGCAAAACACTTATATGAAAGTCATGGGTTTAAGGCGGTGCCAGATAGGTATATTGAGGTTGATGTGCCGGAGAAGTGGAGGGGAAGGGAGGAAAGACCTAAGATTGAGTTCTTCTTTTATGAGAGATCAAGGAGTGGGAAGAAGTCGTGATCGAAGTATTAGGGGGTGGCAGTCAATACCTAGCTAGGTAGTGGTTCATACGATACATGTGAAGCCGGGAGGTAATTTTATATCGGAATGTGGATGCTATGCGAATGGGTGAATCGGGGTCTTGATAACTCCTCCTAGGAAGAGTCGATCAACACTTTATCGAATCTTAATCAGACTATGCTCAGCTTCTTAGTTATGGGGCTTATTTGCTGCAACTATGACTTTGCTGGTTATTCACTGTTCTCGAAAACATTCCAAAAACATTCCAAAAACACATGTCATTCACGTACCTTTCGGGAGCATCATTCACCCATCGCTTAATAACCTCTCTAAGACTAGTTCTTGCTGTGAACAAAGTTGTACTACCTAGGTAGCTGGATATTTAAGAGGAGCAATTTGGCGCAGCCTAGCACTCTCCAACCATGCATGTTCAACTGGATCAACTGGAAAATCACAGGATTCCCAACTTACTTCCTTGTCCGGTACCTTTTCCTATCAAATACTTTTTGTATCTCTTTCTAGACATGACAGTATGCCGTGCTTCAAGTAAATCTGGTAATCTTGCACAAGATAGGATATTGAGAAATAAGACATTCCTGCCATTAAAATATCTAACGCTCTATGCACTTCTTTATCCGATATTTTTCATAAGTGTAGAGTGCTATAGTATGCTCCGATGTGTTGAAAATGATGCAACTGATAGCAAAGGCTCTGCAATGACAAAAAAAAAAGGGTTTTACACTTGTAAACCTAGAATAGGGATGATTGCGGGGATAATCCAGGAGATGTTAGGCTAGGAAATAGATATTGAATATGGCGCTAGTTGACGGCAGCAGAGTAACCATCTGCTCTTTTTCCGGACGTTTCGTAATTTTCTTGGATATAGATTGTATAACAAGCTTTGCCACTAACATATAGAGGTCATTCCGGACTTGGGTAGTCATCGTCAATGAATTCTATGTCACAATACCAGCAATTTACCTAGGTGCCTAAATACCCAGCTAAAGCAAGTAGGAGTTAGCCCCGTATCCACAACTAGATACGTATGATCTCTTATTCACTCAAATCGAATACCTCAGCTCCCCTACCGACGAATTGTGAGAATACCTGGCTTGAATAGGATTGAACGGACAAACCATCCTGAAGTACACCACCAGATGATGGCTGACGACAACACTCAAGTGGTGTGTATGCACGTCTGACTAGTTTCTTTTTAATGAGGAAGGAAACTTGCTAGAAGTTCTGCTGTTATGAGCTTATATTTGCAGGTAAGAACTTTCTTAGCAATGACTATCGTCTCATAATTGAAGAAGTTCTTGGTGAAATAGACAGCGAGAATTACGAACTTGACGACAACGATAGAAATCGTAAATATTCTCATACATTATGAATCTAAACCCGCTAAGATGACAGAGCCACAGTCATAGAAGTACCAGCCTAGCGTTGCATAGCCAAGGTCATCACTGCGTAGTCTTGAAGATCTGAAGTCGAGAAGGATCCGAGTTTTGCATACATACCTACGTATCTGAAGGGTGCGAGAAGGGATTTGCTAAAGTGAATAATTCTTCTTCAATAGAACATTTTGACATGCCCATCCACTAACTACCCCTTTCAGCCTCTCGGATACCCCTCCTTGTATCTTCATCATACCACTTACTACAAGTCCACACATTTACCTCTTCAACCTCTCTCTCTACTAATCTCTACAAGTATCATGACTCCCTTCAACTTCCAAAGGGGCAATATTGCAAAATGTCTAATCATATAACCACATGTTGGTCCTTCTAATTAGATGACTTCATGAGCCACGTCTTGTACTTGAATTGATTTAATGGAGGATTGAGAGAGTTCGAGTCTTTTTGTTATTTCCACAAGAATCAGGCACGTAAAACTCATCTTCTCGCAATCCTCAAGATAATCTCATCTCATATTCCAAAGCTTCTCAAGAGAACGACAAAGATGGTTGTAGAAATGATAACAAAAATTTGCTTTCTTGTCATTGTGTTGTAGAATCCCATCTCTCGATTTGCGATCGATCATGTAAATGAATCCTCCATTAATCTGACTTGTGGTCAGACGCGGAGAGTGTGGGATTACACATATTTCGTCTGCTCTTGTTCCTACCTTGAAGGTTGAAATTGTTATTTCTGGTGGTGTATGTATATATGTAGGTGTGTACCGTAAAACTGATTAGGTATCTACCTTAACATGAATGGAACCAATAATATTCACTTCCATCAATTACCAGGTTTGTTGTTTCCCACATGCCGATTATCATCATTCACTCAATCAGAAAGGTTACTTAAACACGCACAAGCGCTCGACCATGAACAGGAAGGCACTGCTCAATAAGGAGAAGATGGTCGTAGGGGAAGTGGCATTTGTTTGTTCAGCAAAAAACAGAAGGCTCGGAATCGGGGGAATCACGGTCGTGAAAACTGACACACATCACTCACTCCCTTGAAAGCAAAAGATATACAACAAGAAACCATTCGATGATGATCATCTCAAGTAATTAAAGAGTGTGAGGAGATAACAGAAAGTTCTAAATCGGCAACGGTAAAAACGCAGATATCATAAGTAGCATGAAACCGGGATATCTCTAGGCTTCTTATGAAAGATTGCTTTTCGCCGATATGGTCAAATGGTACATCGCGCATTCTGCATCCGCCTTCTTCAGGAGTGTTACAGTCTTTTCTGGTCTTGACAGGTTGCGCAGAGGATTAGAGAAGTTGGGTTCTTACAACTACACATATATTTTGGTACGCTCCCGGCACTTGCACATGAACTATTAGTAACCTTTCAGCAAGCTCGAAATAGCCACAAGAATTTTATATACGTGACTATTTAAGGGGTGGGAACTGGAACAAATAGTCAATCGATTACTCAGATAGGCCGAAACTTCATACTCAGAGGCGCCAGAAAGATGCGTCGACAATCTCGCTGGCGTTGATCCGCAACCTTTTATCGAGAGACGTTTACATAATATTTCTCACATAGAAAGTGTTTGAAGAATTTCACCTCTGTCAATCATCTGAAGAGAATCAGAAAAATGACAGAAAGATACGCATCTTCGACGACAGCAACAGCAAAGATTAGATATAAGTCTACAATAGAGCTTCCGCTTTTATTCGTTGCCGTCTATTGCGCAATGGAAGTACCATGTATGTCAATCTTCCCATTTAATCGCCTTCCTTACCAAAAAAGCTGACATGGAGAAATGGAACTTCGTGCTGAGGTCTTTATCTTCGATATTTCGTATTTGAAGAGGGTATGTTGAAAATTGGAGAAGACCGTGAATCATCCACTTGGGCTCTACTGTATTGACCTTCTATTCCCGCCTATCTTCTCGCAAAGGATGGAAGATCTTGTCAAGTCGAGACTAGGTAGCTAGTTTTCCGCATTTCAATAGGCGGTCGACAGCTTGGTCCACTCGAGGAAATGATATAAGAAATTGGTGACCTCGATGTCATTGCTGCATATCTCATAGCAAGTCTCAGTAATCTGTAACTTGTTTAGCATCTCCATAATATATGACTTCCAAGTCACCTTGACACAAATACATATCTCTTCAAAAACAAAAAGGTGGGAGATCATCTGATAACCTCCAAATTCAGACGAGGAAGAACAGCACACATGGAGAATACATTATGGAGAATCAATCTTATCGTTGTCAGCGACTCAACGATAAGTTTCAGCCAGCGAATGGAGAAATGATGAAGTAATCGCAAGGATGTATGGATATATAGCACATTTCAAGCACACCAAGTCCGCAAACTCAAGAGGTACCCAGATATATAACACAATATTTTGTGACCGAATGCAACGCTCCAAGAAGACAAAGAGTGAATCTCCATGAATTAGAAAAACATCTAACCACAACAAAACCAAATAAGATAATATCAGATGAGACACGCAACACCACCAACACCACCCACATCCCCAAACACCGACCCGGAAATAACTTTCTAAAACCCTCTTATTTCCAGTCGATGGAAAATGTCACAATTTTAGAGTAATTGAGCATGGTGAACGTTGGAAAAATTTACCAAAATTTGAGATATGCAACAAAACTTTTTGGTATTTTCAAGAGTTGATTCTATTGGTTGAAGGGGTGAAAGTGAATCTGGGGAAGAAGGCGGTGAGGGATCGGAGTATTTGCCATTGGTGTGGTTTGATGAAGAGGTGAGAAGTGATGTTGTGTTGTGAGTGAGTGATGAGGATGAGGATGAGGATGAGGATGCCTCTATTTACATGTATTGCACTATTAACATTAACAACTATTGGAGTATGAACACTGCATGGTTTTAGTAAGGCAAGTTGTTTCTTAACTATAGCTTTTATATCGGTTGTTCGTTCAATGTTATTTAGATGAAGAGACGTTATACCAGAGTATATCAAAGGGTGAGGCAATGCGCTTTTCAGCCCATGATTATAATCCTTTCCCGCCAACTAAACAGAAGCTGAAGGAAGAATGATAGCTTCTGAGTTGCGAGTATGTGAGTTCGTGTTGCTATTGAGACGTCTCATTGCCGGATAATAAATACAGTCAACGGATCTAAACGATGAGAGGTTTTCTCATTGAAACCGGCGGTCCTTTGTCCCATCTCAATCTCTTGATCACCCAAGGTATGCCTGTAGGCGTCTAAAGTAACAAATTTTACAAGAGATACTTCACTGAAGCCTTGAAATTAGATTCATCTGGAACCCTTACTTACTGCACTTCTGATTGATCGAGGTGCTTTTATATTCCACATCTGAAAATCAAAGGAGGAGCATATGAGAAAGCGCATGGAAGACCAGGCTACATTCCTTTTTGATCCATTGGTTCTAACTTTTACATTGTACCTAGGTATGCAACGGATCATAGCACAGGCCATTCATCGTCCGCCCATGGACTCCAGATATAAAAGCTCGCAGTTGTGTTGAATATCGAATTCCAGTATGGCTAACTGAAGAGCATATTATTGCAGCGAGGTTTGTGGAACTGGAAGTGCCATAATTTAGTTTAATCTTTGTTTTTTCGCATTTGTTTACCATCGAAACTAGAAAATAAGAGAGAGCACACATTATGTAGTTTTTTTGGCTGATATAGAAGACAACAAAGATATATTCAACAATTACACATGCCTTGTGACAGTAACGACTTCATTTCCGACGGACGACAATGAATTATCAATGGATTGACGTCTCAAAGTTCTCCTTAACAAGCATCCATTCTCAGCATGTGAAGTATAGCTCGAAGGATATCATGTAGGGCACTTGGTTGTGGGAGGTGGTTCCAAAAATTGCAATAAAAAGTCAAGCCTAGAAGACTCATATATATAGTCAGATCCTCAAGATTCTCGAGCTTATCTTGAGAGCATGTAGGCACTCTCATTTTCATCAGCCTTGGAAAGATTTGATCTCCTTCTAGATATAAAATCATGCTGGCAATCATCCCTTCAATATTCCTTTGAGAATCCGAGGTTAAGTCTACAATTGCAGGGAGTCCGAGGGTACAGTAGGCACTTTCGCTACTCGTGTCTTCCGGGCCTAGCACGATAAATCCATGTCAGGCGAGCAAGAATCTCAGTGCGCTATTGCTTCACTAGGGCTGAGGTTGCTAGCATTTAGAGGTTAGAGGATCTGCGATACTCGGCAAGAATCAATGCTAAGCGCAATTGAAATCAATGTGTAGTTTTAGAGACAGCGACAACTCAAAATGACGGTGAATGCTTCAAGGGGTTTGTGTGAGGACTTCACATTCCCAAGGCGAGATCTTTGGGCTGTTGCTATGAGCGTAACTTCAGCAGGACGAGAAAATGTTTTGGGCAAACCTGGAGCCAATACAGTTGAATGCTCGCCTGTGCTGCTGGCTTATCAAAAATCAATTGATGGCGTTAAATATGCAACTGTTGGACAATTGCAATAACACAGCCTACGGTCAAAACTGTGTGTTTCGCATCTGACAATTCACGACGTACTTTATTTGGTAAGCAATCAATACGACGATTCAATTGGAAATACGCGCGTCCCACTTAAGAAATCTCACCAATGAAATCCTCCATCAGCTGACCCGCCCCCGCATAAGCAGATTTCCTTGGTTGTAACGAATTGAAAGTCAAATATGACGTCAATCAATGGCGCTATTCTAGAACCATTAGCTCTGTGCGATCCTTCTTACAAACAAACCGATCAATAACTTATAATCTCACGACAGCCACTTTCTCCCTTCCACTTTCATCAACTTTGAAAGACATTTTGAGGAATACAAAGCACACGACACCGAAACAATATACAACACCACACGACGAATTGCCATATAGCAAATCAGTAATCATGTTCCAGAATACCCTCGCCCTTCTCCTTCAATTCTTCTTCTTCGCTTTGGCATTTGCTCAACCTATTGAGACTGCTGGACATGGCAATGCATGGAAATACGGTTCCGGCGGTGGAGTTATTGGATTTATCGTATTAATCCTCGATATTATCGTCTTCAGTATGTCTCCCCTTTCCCGTCCTTTCCATTCCATTCATTCAAGCATAAATCTAACCATATATCTCCAGTCGAGGTCCTCAAATCCAACCGTCCTCCTTCCCACAAACTCCTTTGGTGCTTGGTCGTCTTCCTCTTCCCTATTCTCGGTTTGGTCGTCTATTGGTTGTTCTCGAACAGAGAGGCACACAACTCTGGAAGCGGCTCGTACGAAGCTATTCCATAAGTGGATGAGGCTGTGCAATATCGTGGTGATACTATCGGGTGATGGTACGACGAACACAGATAAGACGAGAATGATGAAGGAGTTATGGTGATGATGATCATGGCATGGATTGGCTTCGTTGAGGGATTGTTTCCTGCGGCATATACGACTAAGCGGATTTGGGTTTTGGGGATTGAGATCTGAGGAAATTGTGAAAGGAGTATGGAATTTTGCTAGCATGCTATAATGAATGAACTTCAGAACAAATGCAATTCTGGTTCAGATTACTCAAAACAAACTCTACGCAAACACTTTGTGACTTTCATCATTGGTCCCCAGGTCATTGAATTCCCATGGAATTTTAGCAGATCGGACCCTCATAACACATGGATACATTACAGCGTCTTCAAGTGGACTCTCAATCTTGCTCTGTATTGTCCATACTAATGAAGATTCTAGGAAAGATTCACGCCCAAAATTACCACCAACACACTTTGTTGTTGCCTGACTTCACCGTAACCCATCTCCAGCCTTGAAATTCCCAACAAGCTAGTGCCGCTCTAGCCACTGGTTCATGGGTATCAAAGCGGCGCCACCTTTCTCGAATTACAATCGCAACTCCAGCTGACTCAGCATTATCGTCAAACATAGCGTGACACTCCCGTCCTCTATTTTCCGAGGAAGTGGTTATTACCTGAGGAGTCGTCGGCTTTCTCTTCAAGTGTCGGTTTCTTAGATTGTTTTGAGAATGGCTTCACGCGATGTGAGATTGCTCTCTAGATATTTAACTAGGTCAACTTTGATTGGAGTATTGATATCGAATACGAAGATATTGGAGAATTCGGGATCTTCAATCAACTGTTGAACTATATGATGAGCAAGACGGCCACTTCCACCGCTTAAAAGCATGGAGTTTTGAGAACTCGAAGGTATGATTTTGGGTTTAGAAGCTGTTGGATGATGTTGGAAATTGTTGGAATGGTTGAGCAGGAATCGAAGTAGTGCAAGGTGTATTGAATTTTGATATTGATGTGATGATGAAAGTAAGAAAATCGATGAGCATCAAGATAAGTTACTCGGCTGAGCAGGTGTCTGCTTACCGAGATGGGATATCTTTTGAATATTGCGACGATTCGATTCGCTGAAGGGCAGATTTATCGACTGTTAGTCACGCCATTTTTAAATGAAAAAGAGGGGCGTGATTAGATTCCATCTATGAAGCCATGATGTTTTTTTGCATCACATTAGAGCCTCTCGAGACTGAGTTTGGGCCAAGTATCTCTGGAGAGAAAGAAAAGGGAGGGGGGAAGAGCGCATATATCGTGCTCAATAGCCTTCTCTTTCGACGAAGAATGCTCAGCTCTTCAACAGCCGACCTCATGGCATTGATTGTGTTATGTAGCCGGCAAGAAGATACTTGCTTGGCACCAAATAATCTCGAAGTTCGAATAACTATTTTACGTATCTTCGAGGTTGTTCACCGCAAGGGAAGAATAAATTAATTCTATAAAAAAAGACGAAGCAAGCAAAATTGTCATGATTGTCTACAACTTGTACACAACAAGTACTCCATATCTGTGCTAGTAAATGACCTGAGGGTAGCCTCCCAAAAGCCCGGCATACGGCATAGCTCATTCTGTGTAGAAAGATCACTCATCTAGCTGCTCACATACATATGAGTCTCTGGGATACCGAGTGAACTCCAAAATTATTGATTATTGTTAGAGTCCACAACAGCACATCTATTTCGTTTCTTCTTTTCTAGGGCAGTGGAATATTCATGCAGTGTCTCGAAATATGAAACCCACATCAAGGGGAGATACAGCATAGTGTACATAAATAGCAAAGCCATGCTCATGCCCATGCTCATGCTATGCTCAATGATAAGTGATCAGCAGAACTTTCTAGATTCATGTTACTGAAAATTGGTAACGTCCACTGCCTATCCGGTTCAAGCAAAAAGCCAGGTGCGAAAAACAAATTGAAGAACAGACACAATGATCAAATACCTCAATCAAAAGTCCCAAAAGCCATGATATACAGATGCAAAAAAGAGCCATTTCTTCACAAGATGAATATGTTTGTGTTTACATGGAAAGATTGAAACTATCTAGAGATAGGCATTGAGAGAGTCATGCTCAAAGCCCAATTCTCAGTGGTTCAATACGTTGCTTGGGGAGTTTATGTTACTAGGACTGAGAATTCTCGAGATTTTCAGATCGAGAATTAGATTTGTTGTTGTCGTTTCTGTATTGTTCTTACCAATGTACAGTAGAATGAAGCGATATTGGACGAGTACTGCGGGAAAGTGATTCATATTCGTTCCCATGAGGATTGTTATTGGAAAAACCGTCAATTCTAGTCAAATTATAAATGAGAAATTTTATCAACAAAGCGACGGAATTTTGAGCTTAATCGATACTACTATTGACTAAAGAAACCGATCGTACCGAAACGGTGGTGAAGTTTGCATGAGTTTATATAACCATCGAGTCCTCGTGTCCCACTTGGAATTCGGCACTCGTTGAACATATTCACTATCCATTTTTGGCGAGCAAAAACAGCCATAGAGAGATTCTCAGTCACGTCTTGATGAGCCATATGCGTGGATGCGAAGCTCTTAACCTACCAACCGAGACTATTCATCTATTAGGGGCCATACTATGCGTTCAAGCGACAGGATGGATAAGCGGGGAATCTCGGAATATCATTTTCCTTGTTATCAATTGATGGAAAGATTATTTAAGAATATATAACTGTTGCTTGATATTTACTTGTCGTCAATTCCAAACACAGAGAAAATGAAAAAAGAAGAAGAATGAAGAATCACCCCGTTCCCTATGATAAAATCCTCCTACAAAGATCGATAATCATCCACTCTCAAAACCCGATAGGAGCCATATACGAATGACCGCAAGGAAAAGAAACACCGGAATTATGAAAGCATTCGGTACTCTTCTCGTGTTGCAAAGGTACTCAGATAGAAGGACGAAATCAATCTGAGTCTTGAATAACAACTCCATTTCCTCAATAGAAGGAAACATCAATGATCGACTGCTCATACGATTTACTTATTAAAGACTTTCAGATTCTGATATCCCAACATTCCCTCAATTCTCCGTTTCTCCATTTCTCCACCCATCTTCCCATCCCCCTCCTCATCTACCTCCTCCCCTTCTCCTGTTCTCCACAATCCTCAAACATCCATTATGAAAGCCCTTGTTCACACACTCTGGGCTTTCAAATAATATTGTCAATGCAGTTGATAAACTGGACCATGGATATCCAGAGATACCCTCGAGTCCATAAATAACGATACATTTATATCTTAAAAATAAAATCAAAGCTGCTCTATCTTCCTCGAGAAAAATAGGAGAAATTCAAAATGATATAATTTCGCCGAATAAAAATTTCTAATGATCGTTGTTGTTATTTAACAACCATCCACTATCCATTTGTTCTTTTGGGATCATTCTATGATTATGTCTCTAGGTACCTTTATTCCTCTTCACACAAAGAATACAAAGCCAGCTACGAAGTCAGGCTGGCTCAGATCACAAGCGCGCAACTGCGACGCAAACCTTGTGGGAATACATGATGGCTGTGTTATTTCGCTCTGAACTGATATAGACCTATAGATAGATAGATAGATATAGATAGATAGATATAGATTGAACGCAAGGAGAAGAAACTTAAAGGAAAAACCCCCCTCATCGTTATCAAAGTATCCGAGTGAAGACTATCCGGATACTTTCTCCACACCCCGCTTTCTCCAACTCTTTCCCCAGCTCAAATGATTCACTCTAGTTCATCTCAATCTTCCATTCACTGAAGGGCCACCGCATCTTCTCAGGTCGATTCACTTCTCCTTCCCCATCTCCCATTCACCCCCCATTTCCCCACTCTCATCACCCGTATACCAAACTCAAAAACAAGAAATACCACCCTCATCTCCTCTTGAAAACCTAATAACCTACCATCAATGCCACAGAAGGAATATGTGCTCGTAGTCGTGTTGCGACTGCGATAACAAGTATACAGCTAGTATGAAGAAAGAGCAGATATTATCCATGTATCAAGATTTATTTTCTTTGTTCCGAGATGATTGGTGGAATGGATGAGATGAGATGAGATGAGGTGAGGTGAGAAAGTTCATTATCGTTTCATAGCATAAGAAATGATGGGATGATATGGGAGTACAGTTCCCTTACTGCAAGCCAGAGAACAACACAGAACAATTGGGCTGGACTGGAGACTACACAGACGCGAATGATCCAACCACTTTCACATGATTCCTTACAAAATGTGCAACACAATGTTCATTCATGACAACGCTATCATCAACATGTTTTCGTAAATACATAATCCCATGGGCCACAATCCTATATATCTGTCACGGATGGTTGACCACTCCCACCTAATAATGTCCATCAATGGTCATCGTACCCGTTTTTGTAATAAGGTACTCATTGACCGCGACATCTTTCCCAGATTCCTTTCCATACCCCGATTCTTTGATTCCTCCGAATGGTGATTCGGCTGCTGATGCATTACCTATAGTTGAATATTTAGCACAAAGCTTCCGATATTGAGGAATGAAGGATTGGGAGACCAAGACTACGTACCAGTATTCATACCAATCATACCAGCCTCTAGGTTCTCAAGAAGTCGCCATGTACGATCGATGTTCTTGGTGAAGAAGTAGGATGCTAGGCCCATCTATAGTATTTTTGTCAGTGCGCCATCTCACATACCATTTACCGGAAACTTGTAGAGAAGACTTACACTAGTGTTGTTTGCCGCGTCCACAGCCTCATCCTCCGTATCGAAAGAATACAATGCTAACACTGGCGCGAAAGTTTCCTCCTCCGTGATCAACATCTCCTTCTTTGCACCCAAGATGATAGTCGGCTCAAAGAAATACCCGGTAGTGTCCTTTACTTTACTTCCTCCGAGTACAACTTTTCCACCATGCTTCTTGGCATCTTCGACTTGGTTTTCTGCTTTGTCGATACTTCGAGGAGTGGTGAGAGGACCGATTGTAGTTCCCTCTTTGGCTCCGTGGCCAATTTTGAGTTTGGAAGTTTTTTCTTTGATGAGAGAAGCAAATGAATCGTAAACACCAGATTGTACATAAACGCGATTGGCCGTTATACAAGCTTGACCAGCATGTCGCCATTTGAGGACCATGAGAGCTGAGTATGTTAATAAGCTTTTCAAAAAGACATTGAGAAGTATAATCAGTTGTCAGAGATACAGGTTAAGCTCCCTCTGATATAGAATAGATCACGTACCATCAGCAGCCTGGTTCAAATCTGCATCATCGAATATCAAGAAAGGACAATTGCCTCCTAGTTCCAAAGTAACTTTCTTTAATCCATCGGAGCACAACTTTGCAACGAGTTTGCCAACTCGTGTCTTGATACTCATCAGTATTCGGTCAAATCAGGAAAATGGCAAGAAAAGCTTACAGAACCAGTGAATGTAACCTTCTTGATCAATGGATGACGACACAGTGCCTCACTTAATGGAGGTGTGTTATCCAAACTCGTGGTCAAAACACTAAATACACCTTTTGGAAATCCTGCTTGCTCGGCAAGGAAAGCCAAGGATAACACCGAAAGTGGTGTTTCTGGTGATGGTTTTGCTACCATACAGCAACCTGCCGCAAATGCTGCTCCAGCCTTTCGCAGGATCATTCTACAGATCGTTAGTCACTACGTTACTTAGGATGGAATTACTTACGCAATTGGAAAATTCCATGGGACTAGTGCGGCAGCTACACCGACTGGTTGCTTCACAGTGAAGACTCTCCTACCCGGTGCTGCTGGTGTCTGATTTGAAGGGCAAGTTAGTGCTTTGCAAACACGAGAACAGACGCTGTGCAACATCAAAGATTATCTCAGAAGACGCATGAAGTGCCATATGCCCAAAGGAGCATTTTGTAGCAGCCATGAAAAGGGATGAAAAGATACGCACCTGAATCGTCCCCGAAATTCTCTCCGCCTCCCCAGCAAACCACCACGTAAAACCCAACGCATAATCAATCTCTCCCAAGCTCTCCGCGGTTGGCTTTCCCGTCTCGTAAGTAACAATCTTCGCCAAATCCTCCTTGTTCTCTCTGATCAAAGAGTCCCATTTCAAAAGCCACTGAGCACGTGTTCTGGGATTAACTTTCTTGAAAGATTGAAATGCTGTGTGAGCGGCTTGAACGGCTGCATCTACGTCGGACGCATCATTATCGGGTGCTGTGGCCCATGTTTGACCGGTCCCAGGATCTGATGAAGATTCAGGAGTTAGATAGGAAGAGATGAAGTAGAAAATGTGGTTTGGTAAGGGAATAAGAACCTAAGACATCGAAGCGTTTGCCAGATTTAGCTTCCACCCATTCTCCATTAACATAAGATTTGTCGTGGAAAAGTGATGCATTTTTGAGCTAGAATGAGAGACGTTAGTCTTGCGAGCTAGAGATCTGATAATGGCCCCTGAGACTTCAAACTTACGTCGAATGGAAGTTTGTTTGAACTCATATTGAATCTGTTGGGGTGGTTCTTGTCGACGTTGGAAGTGAAGAAGGAATGATTGTCTGGATGTCAAAAGACAACTTACTTCGTGGTCTGAGTAATGTCACTCTTCGGATATAATAGAGTGATATGCTTAAAGCCTATGATGGGTAGTACAAGGCGGGGTTATATCCTGTGGCGGGCGGGGTAGCTGGAAAAGAGGAAGAATCCATCGGCAATGGTTCACGTGACGCGTATGAGTCCCGTGATCTTTGTGCTTGTAGGTAGGTGTACACACACCTCACTCAACTTCACAATTCCATGTGTGGTGAGATGAAATGGTGCTTGCCATGACAAATTTGCGTCACCAAGAGTTTTCCCACGTACTTATGAGTTTACCAAGTTATATTTGGTATATGATCTACTGTAAGTTCCCAAGAGAGTTAATTCTAGGTATATCTACCGGAAATTGACGCGCTTTCCAATTATCCGCACGCTCCACATTCCTAAACACATGTGTCTCGTCCACCGCCCATTTGATAAACCTCGGTATCTTCATGAAGTCGTCGACATCGAATTCGACTACTCTCAAGATACTTTATGAGAAACTTGGAGCCACTGTATTTGTTGTTTGCACTAAGTTTATGTTGGAACTCTTAACCCGGCATACCTACTGATTCATCTGCTCCTTCATCATTACTGTTTATATTGAAAATCGCAGGGAAAGCCAAAATGTCAGCAATTTTAGGTGCCCCTTTTGACCCCAAACTCACAGGTCTTTTGCTTGTAGCCCTTCGGTACTACCCAGATAAATTGCGATCTATTGTACCGACCAAGATTCAGCCATATATTTATTCTCCCGCCTTCATTCGAGCATTGAAAGTCCTCCTCGTTTTGGGTATTGTACGCGGGGTCAATAACAAGTTATCTCAGCTTGTGTTGAATAATTGGAAAAGCAATGCGAAATTTATTAAGAGTCAGGAGGTTGTCTTAATTACGGGTGGTTCGAGTGGGATAGGAGAATCAATGGCAAGAGAGTTCTCATCTAAAGGGGTTAAGGTTGTGGTAATGGATGTGAACCCTCCAAAGATGCCATTTCGTGAGTTTTTCTACCTTCGGGAGCACATCATGTACAACGGTGACTAACAATATGAAAGCATCAAACGTCTTCTATTATCGAGTTGATATAACATCACCATCCCAAATTGCCTCTGCAGCTTCCGAAATAAGGAAAAGTCATGGAGATCCTACCGTGCTCATTAACAATGCCGGAATTGGTACTCTCATGCCCATTCTAGAAGGCAGTGAAGCACAAACCCGAAAGACATTCGAGGTTAATACAGTATCCCATTTCTTCATGGCTAGAGAATTCGTCCCGGCGATGATCCAGAAGAACCATGGTCACATAGTGACGATTGCCTCTTTAGCAAGTTACCTAGTGCACGCTGCCAATGTAGATTACTCCTGTTCAAAAGCAAGTGCTCTCGCGTTTCATGAAGGACTTGCATCAGAACTGAAAGCTCTATACAACGCGCCCAATATTCGAACCACGTAAGTCCTCAAATTTTCATCCACCCGATATTACCACCTGTATTTCGTACTCACAAAGGAAATAGTGTTGTCAATCCAGGATGGGTTCGGACACCATTGGCCGAGGATGTTATCTCGCAAGCCAGCTTCAAAGGTCCATATCTCCAACCTGAAACCATTTCTAATGCTGTTGTTGATCAAGTGTTGGCGGGAAGAAGTGGCCAAATCATCTTACCTAAGAATATGAGCATCTTAGGCACAATCCGAGGATGGCCATGGTGGCTCCAAACCTCGGTGCGAAATATGATAGCTCGAGAATTGAACTTTGGTCAAACGCAGTCTGACCCGGCAGTATAAACCGGAAATGTGGCTCCGGCGGCATCCACGTAAATATTCGCCTTGTTATGTATTTTCCGGAGTATTTTGTTTGTGTAAGGAAAGGTTGACTTGTCGGGATTTTTCTGATGTTGTTCTATGTTACTCAGCGTCATCATCGTGGTTATCGTGGCGATGTTGACCATGTTCGGGATTTTCTAAGCCTTGTTCATTGGTAGAGGAGGTTGGCGACGAGTTCCGCAGACCGTAGATTGTAAACACATGTATCATACTCCACTCCACCTTGTTGTTATGTGTGGTAAGTCAATATGCATAGTATGCCCAGAAGAGCCCGAGGAGCCAATACCGGTTCAACCGTTAAATGACACAATGCAACTATCCACAAACGCACACTGAACGTTACAAACGCGAATTCCCATTCTAAAACCGGAGTATGAAGTAACAAATCCTCATCTTTACAACATCATACCCACCACCAGAGCATACCCAGAACTTCACCCCCTCATTCTCCCTCCCAAATTCAACACAACAACCAAGATCTAGATTCCCTCGCACCCTTCTCTTAATGTCAAATGTCACTATTCCCTATTCCCCAAAAGCCACATACTAGGGTATCCATCTAGAACCTGTGCAACTATCGAACCATATATCCACCCGTTTGCATTCCATTGCAAGCATTTACGCATCACAACACACTATACGTGATTCGCACCAGCATCATGACAGGATCCAACCAACCGGCATTCCCTCCCTCGCTCACTCACCCACCAACCATGAAATTTCTTGCATGAAACCGCATTGACTTTTATGCACCTCGGTCTGCCGGGGCTGTCTGCCAGGTATCCCAGACGTCTCCATTTGGCTGGTTGTGGAGGATGGAGGTGTGTACGATAAACGGAGTACCGTATCCAGTATATCCAGGTATCTATGGAAGAAGCACGCTTACTGGATTACGTGATGAGCAGGCCCGAGGTAGTAATCGCCGTAGCTGCAATTGGCGATATGTACGACCATGACATATCCCAACCCTAGATAGGCCATGGCGGACAAGGAGTCCCCCTCCCCCACCCTGGGAAAACGAAACGATTTCCTGGGCCCGGATCAGCGTACCGTGGATACTGTCATGCAGATATATATTTATTGCCTGTGTGCTGAGCAGGTACGTCGGTGGTATTTCATACAGCTGCGGTGTAACGATTCATTAATCAAAAAGTCTGGAGAGTTCCCCTCCACCAGAAATTGCCAATAAAGCCAGCATCGCCAAGATCATTCGGTATGGAAAGTTGTACCTCACGCCAAATGCGCCATGGCCTTTGTGTGGAATTTAGGAAATCCGCGCGATATCCGTTTATAGATTAGAGTTGAGAGGTGGAAAGTTTAGGTTCGAAGTGATGACATTTAGAATGAAAAGAAGGTTGGAAGCGTTCAGCCGCAGAAATTGTTCAAGTTTCATGATTTTCCGCTGTTGCCGCGAAGAATAATTTGAGGGAACCATAATTTTTGGTGTTGAGATTGAGAGACATTTTGTTTTTCTGCTATGTGTACAATGTGATACGAGTGATGAAAAGGCTTTGGAAAACGGTTTTTTGTATTTTGTTTTTTTTTTTGGTTTCACTGCATGTAGACGTTGTAGACTCGTTAATGGCTTTGAGTCAAACGGGACTTGTTTACTCGATTCATAGAGGATTTTCATACGGTAGGTAAGCTGTCGGTGGCTGCATATTGTGGATTGACAGATAGAGATAACCTTTTTGGAATCTAGATACGTGAATGCATCTCCGTCCGCTTTGCCATCTAGATTCTCTCATCTCGCCAACACCAATACCAATACCGATCCAGTACCAGATACTTTAGATGCTTAGAATAAGCAATGAAGTCTCTCGTGTATTCCATTGATATCACATCGTACCCAGTACTTACATTAACGTCATGTGTGTGAATGGAGTACTTATTGCGAAATGATAACCTTATCGTATCAGATTGCGAATATTCTGTCTCATACATGATAGATATCTCACCGGTTCACAGAACAGAGTCATGAATTCGATGAATCCAATGAAACCTGCCACCGCCAAACGAACGATGTTTGGTGACTTTGGTCGTTCTCTTTGACGCAAGTTCAATTTATCCATCACCCAGGCATGTGTAGATCCATTATTCATCATCCATCACAATCGAATTCAATTGGTTCTCCATAGTAATTATTCCCCCGCGGTCTTCGCGGTCAACTTCAAAAAATAGATCCTGGTATGGCTTGGGAGTAAAACTCAGCCCCAACTTCCAATAGTTTCCCAACATCCAAGAAAGATTCTCAAGATCTCTCCGATTTCCGATGTCAATGGAACCAATCATGACACGAATTGCCCCTTGAATATATTAAATTTCATCACGTACCGTACCTTACTTTCTGTACGAAATACTCACTAACGAGCTAATGGATTAGTCGTCAATATCAACTTTTCCATGTTGTGATGTTGTTATGATATGTGATACGTGATACCCATATCGTACACAGAATAAAACGCACACGACACCAGACGTTCGAATTCGTATGATGTGTATGGTTCGTATGGTTCGTATGGTTCGTGTTTCCAACTCCAAACTTGCCAACTCCACTATTGCTACTCTCCATAGGACCGAGTAGGTAGAATCTACTTCTAAGAATATCCAGGCAAGCTTGACACCACGTTTCCCCATATTTTCTCATTACCAGCGAGTCTGCCACGGTCCTGGTCCTGTTGTGAATGAAAGTATCCACTCGGAAAGCCAAAGCTACATATTCCGATACAAAACCATCGAGTCCACCACACACCACCCACCACCCACCACCCACACCTCCCACCTTGCCGGCTTTCATTCCATGATCCATGACCATCTGAATGATCACCAAGATCACAAATCACATTCAATTGACTGGATGTTGGGAATCCAACCGTCTTATCTTGCTTGTCGTGACATTTCTCTCTACCATGCCATGCCATGCCGTACATGCGAGCCATCTGTCGCACTTACCTAACTCTAGATATTCTATCCATCCGACTCCGATAAACTTTCCACCCATTACCCATTTCGGCCCAGGTGTTGGTTCTCGGATGACCTGCCCCCCCTTTCAACTTACGTTACACGGCTACCGCGTGTCGTACTATAAGCCGAGTTGCCACAATATCCAGATATGTGTCAAGGTCATACCTGTCTTGAATAAATAAAGATCTACTTGGATCATTTTCATGTCAAACTTTTTGCTCATCATTCCTAGCCCTTCCCACACTTCTAATCAAGGGATTCCGGTTTGATGATTCCCCATGTCCACCCTCGTAATTCTAATACTATACACGCAATAGCTTTGACCCGGACCGAGTGGACCATGAATAATCCGATCTATCAAGAATCAAGATGCAATTAATCACAGCCGTGGCCATGCATCTAGGTTGTAGCTTCTTATTCTCATTACCCAAGAAGATGGGTTGATGATTGATGAACAATCATGGCTGAGCTTGAGCGCTTGAGCCCAGGCAAATTCTAACTCTCTGTCTCTCTAATACTCCATAGTGGCATAATTGATATGACATGACCAGATTGGTTCTGTGATATTAAAGAACCTTCCCAACCCGTGTAGCTGGGACTGATTACTGCCACTTATCACATTTGTACTTATATTTTTATTTCTTTTTCAACATTCCATCCATCTTTCCTATCTTTTTCCTTGAATCTACCTGTCGTCCTACTTTTGCTGCAGATTTTGCAGCCTGAAGTCACACCAGTCCATACAAACATCTACACGACTTTCACAACATCTTGATCTCAATATTATTCATCACTCACCTTCCATTTCTTTCCCCTACACGTTCACATATACGTAGCAATACTACCTACGTTTTATCACACAAACCAATCCCTCCCTTAGGTAGCAAGGAAGAGATTTTATTCATCTTTTAATCTATTCGACCAAGTTTTTTGATATATTTCTGCCAGTCCTCCCTTCCCTGCTATATATTTACTTTTCCCGATTCCAAAAAAAATAAAGACCTTTGCTTTTTAAGTGCCTACAGTACATACATATGCAACGGCTCGGAATCGGCATCTTGTCAAATCTATCAATCAAGTATTCTCCGGACATGCAGGTGCAAACGCCACTTGCGCATGGATTATCGGAAATGCTTGCCCGGGCTTCGATGAGTCGGTCTGGACCATCGTTGGGAGTTCCTGGAATCTCTTTGGTGCATGCAAAGAAGGAGGAGGATGTTGCGGGGAATATAAATGAAGACTTTCCAATGGTTTCAGAGGGAACACAGTCTCATACTTCCTCTTTCAATTCATCTTCGGCTTCGTCCTCAAGAGATAGTATACCATACCCGGACTTCAAATCTTTATCATCACCATCATCATCATCAGCCTTCGGAACACAGAACGGAAGCAATATGTTGGTTGCGGAGTCTCTCATCTTCTTTGCTACGGCATGCATTTTATATATTCTCGGCTCTCAACGAAAGACTCACACACGACGTCCTCAGAATGGAAGTCATAAGAGAACTTCTCCTTCTACAAATTCATCATCAAACATTACAAAGTTCCTCCATAACCCTCTCGCCCAAATTTCCCACCTACTATCATGTAGCTCATCCACATCATCTACCTCTCTCCCCACTCCACCCCAGCAACCACCCAAAACCCAACCTGGTCCTCAGAAACCAGCTTATGTTCTCCCACCGCTCAAACCCACCTCTCCCCATCCAACCTCAATGGGTCTCAAGCGTCTCGATAAATCCAATTGGCTCACCATCGACTCCACCTATCTCCCCGAGCATGAACTCCGCGCTTCACTCCTCGAAACACATGGGCCATGCGTCTTGCAAGTCCTACCCCCCGCCGTCCCAGCCACGTACGAACTCCTCGAAATGGTCATTGAGTTTCTCCTAGAACGATATCCGGATGATTTCTCCCTCGTGGATGAAAACACAATCCTCAACAAGTTAACCGGAGAGCAATCCATCATTGGATCGAAATGTGAAAATCCCCTCGAGACAGCCGCGCGTCTCTGCATGGAAGATTTCAATCTCCTACTACAAGATCCATCCGAAGAAGACGGAGAATGGAAATTAATGGCTTCCGCCACGCTCTTTCCCGCAGGTTGGAAATTGCAGGAGAGAATTGGTAGTAATATGGCTGTACTACACAAACCCGTCCCAGGATGGAAAGAAAAGCTAGGAAAGAGTGTCAATCGGTAAGCCATCCATTTCCCTCTCCACTTGCTTCCCACATCTTGTCAACTCCCAAGAAAAATGAATATCCACATACTAACCACCCCCCAGATACTTCACCCATCTCACCCCCCGCACCTGCATGGAACGCTCCAACCTCTTCATCCAAGCCACCCCCATCCTCTTCCAAGACATTCCCGAAGCCCCTCCCTCCCCCTCTTCCCCCCTCACTCCCTCCGACATCTACATCCGTCGCGAACGACAAACCTTTACCCGTCTCCCGAAATCCAACGCGGTGCTGTTTACAGTACGCACGTATATGGAGAGATTAGTAGATGTGAATAGTGCGGATGCGGAAGCGATGGCGAAACAGATTCGCGGGTGGGATGGGGAGTTGGCGAAGTATAAGGGCGTGGGGATTTGGGGGATGTGACGTTGGGGTATTGTGATGAGAGGGTGGAGGAGAGGGAGAAGGAAGAAGAGAGGTTGAGGGGGTTGAGGCGAGATTCCGGGATTAGTATGGGGTGTGAGGATGAGGTGGTGTTGTCTTAATGTGGATGGATGGATGGATGGATATACGTTTGCAGTTCTCATATTTGGGTTTCAAATTTTCAGTCTGGATGGCCGAATGCGTGTGGGGGTGCATTTCTTTCCCTCAAAAAGTTATTCGCAATCACGATCAAAATGGGAGAAGGAACGAAGCAAGGAAATAATGAGCGAATAAACACGAACGAACACACGGGAAGCTGGCAACGGGAGGAAATCTGCTTTTGAAAACTTTACAAAAATTTCTGCGGTTTTGGAGCGAGGGTTTTAATTACAGGAAAAGAACAGAACTGTTTTATTTATGGGGGTTTTACATGGTTTCCATGCGTGGATTTAATATAGGGATGGGGGAGGGGGGAAGTAGATAGAGGAGAGGACATGAGGAATGAGAAGATGAATGAGATGAAATAATATTCAATACGTGCGATGAGATATTTATCTATATATGTAGCACTTAAGCATACATAGGAATTTGAAATAAAAATTGATAGAGAGTTTTAAAAGATGGGATATGAGTGAGGTGAACAGTATGATATAATGTTATGTTTGACAAGTGAACCTATGACTTTAATTATTTCTTGATTCCGTTGCTATTTCCATTTCCATTTCATGCATTCTAAACGCTTATACAATAACGATGATTCCTCCCAAATACTAGTAATACAATTCCTCAATCCCTTACCATCTCTTTTGATCTCCACCACTACTAAAATCCCCCCCTCTCCTTTCCTTTTCAACCCTAGCGTCGAATTCCTTCTGTGCTTCTACTTGAGCCAGGTTTCTCTCCTCCTCCGTCTTGGAAAATGCAAAGCTATCTGCACTCGATGTGCCATCACTCGATGCTTTAGGTTTACTGTTTTGTACTGTTGCCCATCCAGATTTTGGTGGTTGTGATGAAGTGGTAGTGGAATTCGAAGCTGGTTTTTCGCCACGACGGATTCGATCCCATGCTGAACCTGTCTGTCTAGAAGATTGGGGTGTTGTTGGTTCGGTAGCCATTCCTTGGCCGTTGGTAGGCGAAGCATCATCGAACAAATCGAACGGTTTTTCCTCTTCTTGTGCTGGGGCTTGTGCAGGGACTGGTTTTCTCTGTGGCCAACCTCTCGCTTGTGGGAATATTTGAGAAGTTGTCTGTGCAGATGCAGGTGCATTATCTTCTTCAGACCACTCCGCCTCCCCAGTCGGACTAGCATCATCATATCCTTGTGTACTTCGAGTCTGTGGTTGCGGTTGTCCTTGTCCTGGCTTCATGGGGGGTCTGGGAATCCCTGCAGGACTAGGTAGATTTTTCTGATGTCTCGCAACTTCTTCTGATGTAGCCTTTACGATATCCTTCAATCGCGTATCGCCCATTTGTCCTACGGCCCCAACACTAGCTGCATATCCCCCAAAGAGTAACTTCGATACTGTCGTTCCTATGTAAGCATAACATAAACCTCTGAATGCATGCCAAGCAATTAGTGCCGGAGGTCCTTTGATATACGGCATTTTCGCATGGGGAAAGACGCTTGAATTGAAAGCCTCGAGGTTTGGTTGGTAGAATGGAAAACGAAAGGTGGAAGCCGTTTGAACTGCTCTGTAAATACCCGCAGATAAACCTGCAACAGGTGCAAATGAATTGATCCTAATTATCTTTGCAGTATGAAATGCAAGGGCATCGATTTCTTCTTGTCTGAGTGGACGATTGGTGATTTTACTCGAATTTTGAATGCGGGCATTGATGATCTTGGTTAAAAGGGCATCATTGAACCCGAACAGAGGACCGAATACCGGTAGTGGTTGAGGTATCTTACTGCCATCGATTTTGTATGTTTGAACACCGGCAGCTTGGCCTTTGCCTTGTTCCGAAGGCGCATAAGGATCGCTATCGGAGGTAGGAGCGGAGTCGAACGATCCGTTTGCCTCTTTGGATGAGGAGTTTTCAAGAACCATATTAGCGAGTAAAGCAACACGTTGAGGTAGGAGAAGAATTTAAGAAGCCGGTGAGAATAAGTGCAGATGTGTTGCCTTGTTGGTTGTGGTACGATTCAATAAAGGTGTTACCACGAATAATCGCACAGCAGCTCTTGGAAGCTCAAAATGAAGCTTGGATGTTGTGACGTCTTTCACTTTGCGGGCAAGATTTTAGTGGGAGTGGCTTTATCAATTTGTGGCGGGGTTAAGTGTGGCGAAGTTTACCCGTAAGTTCCTCCTACATCTCATGCATTTTCAGGGCTCTCCAACATTATTCCAAATAGTGTCATATCGTTGATACCTTCCCTATTATCTTCGAACGTTCTTGCTATTGCATAAATACTTTACTTGTACTCGCATACTCTCCAGTGAAAAGTTTTCTTTGAAGTATTCTTCAACAGCATTGATGTATCTATCATGTTGTAATACGATCATCTAAAGAGTGTGGTCCAACCTTGGTTCTGGATACCCAGGATGAAGTAAGCACATGAATTCTCAAGTGTGGTGCAACCATAACTCCCGATACCCAGAATTCTCAAGTGTGGTTCGCTTAACAGGATAAGTATCCTTCAAGCTCACATGGGACCCGTTTTTGTGAGCTTTAATCTCGATATTATAGAGTAGCACGAATTTCCTGCTATCGTGATTCGTAGCCCTTCGCTGCCTCTCGCAGCTTAAGCTTGCAACTATCCGTCCAACTGCAGGGGTATCATCTGGCAAGAGTCCGAGTGGACCACATATCACCATAATATCGAATTATCTCATATTCGTGCCTTGATTGCATGACTGCAGAGCTAGTCTTCATTGGGTTCGCTCAGTATGGGTTCATAGCCCCTAGAATACGCCACCATCCACACATCATCATGTCTTCGTTGAATTTTATGCCTCATGCCGTGAAACGTGAGCAGGGTAGCTACTATGTCTCAGATATCATGCAAACAAGCCTTCAAAATGCAATGCTCGATTGATTGTATGACTTTTGATGAAACAAAATATCTTCAAGTATCTGATACTTTCAAACTTGAGAGGTGTGATGATTGATAAATGATTGGTCATTCGCTGACATATTACCTATCATCTGATTGATTAATCGGAACTTTGATTGTCTTCCTTACGTCTTGATATACCCCCAATATGTATACGTGATATCAAGGTACCTAATTACCAGCCATACAAGGCTTTAGAATAACTTCGCTTATAAATTACCCCTGTGTGACCAACAGTTCTCCGCATGAAATATACATAAGTGGAACATATCAACACACTTTCGCATTTAAAGCCTGAAATTCAACGTAGAGTAGTATTCTCGCCATGCATTCAGCCCCATAGAGAGAAGTCACCAGCAAATAGTTGTATTCCTCGCCGTTCAGATGTCGAAGAGAAGAACAGGAAGGAGAACGGCAACAAGGAAAAATGCAAGGATGCAGATTGCGATTCCATCACTCCAACATTTTTGCAACCCCTTCGGCCGCTCAATCTGTATCTGCTAACGGAACATGTCCTCTTCGATTCCTCTTATCCAACATGATTGACGCCGAAATTGGAAGGTCAAAAGGCTGTCCTTTACGCAGGTTACAATGGTAGCATACGGTTCGACTTTGCTTATTGGCCGTCATCAACTTGTCACTTATCATTATTGCGTTGTTGGGATTGGCCGGATATAAGACTAAAACGGGGGTTTAGAGAGGAGTAGTCGTCGAGATGATGAGATCAGATTTGGAAGTGGAGCCTGGTGTAGAAAGGGAAAGTGAAGTGGACACGAATGGTGTGCAAGGGGCCATATTGTATCCCCCCCTTTCGAACCATATCTGACAGGTCAGTTCTCGCGAGCGACGATCTGCGACATTAACCTTCGTACGGTTTTTATTTACATCGATGAAGCGACCGAGATACGAAAGCAATTGAAACAAGTCGGCTTGAAACTGCCTTTCAGAGTATATTGACATTAAGTGGCGAGATTTTATACGGACTGAGTAAATGAGTGACAGTTTTCTAGGGATGACGTTTACAGCTGATCATATGCAGAATAGAATATGATATATGATATAGGAGATTCAAGGGAGGCTGGTTGTTTTGGATACCCCACTCGCGTACAATGCTTACTCTCTTACTTAGTAGGCGATACACTAGTTAATATCGCCGCTGATTAGTATGTTATTTGTTGAGATATCGGCGGACTTGATAGTTTTGGTTGTTCATGAGTATGCAAGTATCGACATGATGTATGTTAGTATGTAATGATGCTATGGACGGGAGTTCTTGATCCTCTCGAAGTATGATTACTCTATCGTTTCCATTTTCTGCACAAGTATTGTCCCATTTTAATCTCAACAGCCCTTGCCACACCTACAAAATTGTACCTCTCTATATCCTTTAAAGATCTCAGGGAAACATGACATTCCGTGAGCTACGAATCAGATCTAGCACAAGATATCCAGATTCAGGCCGCTATACAGCAGTGAGAATCTCTGAGTGGGTTCAATTACGAACTTTGAGTATAGGGGTGCGGGACGAGATTGGAAGGGTGTGTGTACGAGGCAATATGTACGGACAACAAGGATTCAAGGTTCTAGAGTGAGGCATAATGATAACAAATTACTATCCTTTCCGGATGAATAATGTATGCATATCATCCATACGGGATCCTCATAATTACATGAAAATACCTGCGATGCAAAAATTCAAGTATGAACTAAAAATATCTCGAAGTCTAAGATGTAGAAGCCAACTTATGGATGAATTTATACTTGTAATCACTGGATCCGAGGAACTATTTCGCTATGTATCCGTTCTAAGTTAGGGCTCTTGCAGTGATTGATGGGCTATGAAATACTACCTACACGCTTGTCGGAGTTAACCTTGCAATTTCCAGGTTTACATGTGCAACAAAATTGTTTCGAGAATTGTGATTGGAAGAATCATGAAAATTGAAAATGAGTTGAGTAGAGGTTATTTAATCTAAAAGCGCAATGTCGTGTGGCTCCATCATGAGTTAGAGTCCAGAATGCATAGAGTAAGAGTAGTAGTACTCCATTATCATTGATGTTTAGAGAGGGATATAGTGTGCAGAATAAAGATCAAAGGATCAATATGATTCCTTTAGTTCTTCTTTAAGAGCTTCGCGTGGTAGATCTTCTGATTATCGAGCGCGAGATAAAACTAAAAGCCGCGCTGGCCTTGCACCAATAGTTATAGCTTAGAAGGGAATAACTGCATGGTATCTTTACTTGCTGGGAGTAACTATATGGAAATCACTTGTAGACATGCAACAAAGTTGTTGTGAAAAATCTGATTGGAGCATCTGAAAAATATGGTCGACTGACTAGAGTTATAGTCTGGTCGTGAAGTTATGTATGAGTTATATACTTGCTGGGATGACGCCTGTGCATGGAATTTTTAGATATGCAACAAGATAGTTCTTGAATATTATCAAGGGAAGATGTGGAAAGACGGGAGGTTAACCGGATTTTTAATTTGAGTTTAAGGTATTGCAAGTTCTTAACATGACACGCTAGTGGAGATGATCGTTAATGTTTGTCTATTGGGGCGTGTGAATTTGCAACTCAGGGGAAATGAGAGATCTAGGTGGATGGGGTTTGAGAAGGCGAAAGAGGGGAATATCGGTAACTGTTGGACTTATTTGGGAAATTAGATGAAAGAATGATTCTGAATCAAGTTCCCTGGGATTATTGATCGATACTTTGTATAGAATTACTCTCCCGAAAACATGAAGAAACGGAGTCCTTTAAATGGTAAAATATGATACCCACCGACCTAAAATGAAGTGACCGTCATCAAACGAATCACTAAGAATTAGACCTTTTATTAGGGCATCAATTTACAACACACTGCCAGGATGCTAAGCGAACTGTCAGAAATTGGACTTTTCGCTAGCTAGTTAGCATCCACGGTGTAGAATTTCCAAGTCGAGAAATGGTTGATGATATGTCACGACGTTATGGAGAAAGTTCCAAAATTCAAAAGCCGCGAAGTATTTTCAATTCTTCTAGGTGCATGAGTTTAGTGCTGTGGAACTACGAACAATATCACTTCCAGTCACCCCAGCTAAAGAGATAAAATATTGTTTCTACAGTTCGGAGTGCATCAGTTGATGGCTTTAACAAAGTTTTTTTGTGGATGTCATTGCCAGAAGTAACGGGTTAGAATTACCACCGGCAATAGTATAGGAAGTGAGTATTCAAAATATATAACACCACTAATTTCCTTGTGAGGATACCCCCTGTAAATCAGTGCTGTAGACATGCAACAGAAGTCATTTTGATGGCTTTATTTATGATTTTGAAAACTAAGTTTTCTTGAATTGATGCTGAAAAACGCGCGGGTCGATTTGATGAGTTATGTTCCAACTTTCTTTACATGCTGGACACTATTTATACCGCTAGTCAGGGTGAGACCTTGAGCTTTTTGTCTTTAGACGTGCAACATATCGTTCTTGAGGACTCCAACTGGTGCGTGTTTCTAAGATAGTTCCGATTATCAAGGTCAGTAAAGGTTTCAGTCCAACGCCTAAATAATGACTTGTGAACTTTAGAATGATACTTACAGACTTGTCAGGATGAGATCTATAATTCAAGGTGTCAAGGTGTGCAAATAATCTATATTGCAAGAGACCAGTGACTGTAATTGGAAAGTGATCAGGGCCAGCTCCAACTATCGGAGCCAAGAAAGAACGAGTCTTTAATAGGCTTTTCACTAGTCGATGCTTAGAAACTTGGCAATCATGATATACTGCTAATATTACTCCACTGGGAACTTTCTAGGATTACTCTAGCGCTGTTAGACAGGCAAGACTTTACTTTTATGAGACCGAGCAATGTAAAATGCGAGACTGGTCCAAAATGCAAGAGCCGGTAGAGGAAAGCATCAGACCAGAAAGTTTATCAAAAAATTTGAAGACAACGGATACTGTACACCCATTAATTCACCGATTAGAATGATCGCTTCGAAAGATACACAGATGCACAGAATTTTGGGGGGGAGCTTGCTATAAAGAATGGGAAACTTCTTGAATGATAAATGTTGAAGTCAAGGAAATGACATAAGGGGTATATACAGAAAATTTAACGTTCATAACCATTCTATTGTCATGACTAATTTCCCGAATTGCATTTCCATGAATTGATGTGAAAAACACACCGTGAGATGTCCAGAACGAAAGAAACAACTTATCTAGAGACCTCCCACTAGGAGGCCTAAAGAGAGCGGTTGCCAGGATGAGGCATGCACATTGAATTTCAAGGTGTGCAACAAATCTCTAAAATTCCTCCTTTTTGGCTCCAATTGGAAGAGGTCGGAAGGAGCTAACTATAGCTTCAAAACTACAAATTTTCGTTCTTTCCCTTGCGAGTAGATTTCGGGGCTGTATCGCACTTGCAGTGATGAGGCCAGCGTTTCAGATATGTAACAACGTTAGAGTCCATTTCGGAGACCTGTAAGTGCGTGGTAATGAATGTATTAGAGATTATGATCAGTGCAATAGCCTAGGAAATTCCAATCTAGGTCGCCGGACAAATTCTGAATATTAAACAAGCTGAATCTTTGGACTGCAAACACTCAAAATGTCACGTTTTTCTTCCAGAAAAAATTGATTTTGCCTATGAAAAAATGATATCTTGAAGCTTTCGTTGTGATATCTAAGCAAATCCGGTTCAAAAATCTTGACACTTCAGACTATATACTCAAAAGTCTAAAACGAGTTGAACCATTGAACATACTGATAACGATTTTTCCCATTTCTTTTTCCAGCCACCCCAACCATTCTCTTTGAGGACTACCAGGTTTCTTTGCAATCAGGTTGTACGTGATTTCGCACTAAATTTCGCGCGTATTATACTTGACCGCAAATCACAGCTTCGAATCTAAATTCTCGAAAGTAGATCCTCCAATTGCGTAGCAACGAATTGAGGATTATCCTTCTGAATAAAATGACCACAACCAGGAGCAATGAGGACTTCATCCGTTGAACGGTCAGCGTCTGTGAGATTCAACAATTCTTCATTGTATTTTTGCCATGCACTGCGAATATGTCAATACATCGCATCATCCCTACAGGAATGGAAAAACTTACGGTTGAGTATACTTCCTGTCAATACTTTTCGGTATCTTTGCTATCATCCACATCTCTTCTGCAAAAGGTTCAGGGTCATGCCCAATGACCTTCAACCATGGCCCTTTGCCATCCGATCCTTGGAGTTTGGGAGAGGAAGGGTTGGGTAAAAGTTGCAGGATATTTCTTCTATCTAACCCTTCAGGGCTCTTAACATCAGTGTTGAATGTTCGTCCCAGTCTAGCGTATGCTTGGATGTATTGCTCCAGCGTACAATCATCTCCTACCATATCGCTTTCTTTAAAGTCAGGAGTATGAGGATTTGGCCAAAGATCCGTAGCTTCGGCATTGCCGATGTTTGAATCCAGGAATAAGAGACCTTCCACAGTGGCTGGGTGTTTTTTAGCGTAGAGTCGAGCGATATGAACACCAATACTAGCTGCAACGAGAACAAGCTTAGGGTTTGCCAGAACGGTGACTTGGATTAGCTCGTGAAGATCGTTGACTGCATCGTTCATATCGTGACCGTATCCAGGGTCTTTTCCTGGTATGTTATCGGCTGGATCTTGAGAGGTCGTGGAACCTTGACCGTAGCGATCGTATGTCAAAATGTTTGGCTTTACAGAACTAGTGGACTGTTGAAGAAGAGCAATTGTGGGAGCCCACGATACAGATGGTAAACCAAGACCATTAATGAACACGATGAGTGGAAAATCCAGATTGAAATTTTGGCCCTCAAAGAGCTTGTAAGAAATTGAAGCCTGTGGCTTGGAGGGGAGAATTGCGAAGGACATTTTAAGTTATTTGCGTCTTCCAAGAAGACTAACAGGTGATCTTTGTGATATTTTATACATTTAGGTTAATGCCGCTCTGCGTGTTCAGCTCCAAGAAGAAGACATGATAAGTGGGGTTATTCAAGACCTGAGCATGTCAGAACAGGTGATTATGTGAGATGACCATAGTATCATTGGTGAGATGTAAGACTTGATGTATTTACATACATGACAGGACTTTCTGACATCCAATTATTGGGTCAACAGATACCAGTGCTTGAAGACACATTTTCTATGCAATATGTTAAGTACGTAATATTCTTGGGCAAGGAGATTCCGGCTTCAAGAAAGTCATTGAAAATATCGGCCGCTACCTCAGTAGTAAGATTTTGCGAGAAATTCGCAAGTAGATCTCGAGAGCTAGTATCTTCAGATAATTTCCATGCTATCTGATGCCTCTATTAAGAGTTCGACGCTATTCGGACCAGTCCCACTTTCATTATTTGGCAAGGCAAGGCACATTTGGACCACTTTGCATTTTAAGCTTGTCAAATTCCACCATCCTAGAGAAGCAACAAAGAAGTTTAGATTTGAACAAGAACAGTGGAACTGTTCGCAACGATGACCACAAACAGACCTCCTAGCCTGAAGGAAATGCAACAATGCTGAAATCTTCGAAGCGTCTGTTTTAAGAAGGTTAAGTCATACACTTGAACCATACTGCCACTTGGCGACTCTGTACAGAACGATATCATTCGAACGCTTTGCTAAATATGGTAGGCAAGTCCGATGAAGTAGAAATTGCGCAGCAGAAGGATCTGACAACCCAATGATACCTACTTGGTCATGTCTTTGTACACACGAAGTCACTAAACGCAATGCATTTTCGATTGCTTAGTAATCATATGACGACAAGGTTGTACTTCTCTGTCACTTTCATAACACTCTGTGCAAAGAGCATAACAATAGTCATGTGACTACGCGCAACCGGCCGTGATTGTTTCCGTTGTCGCGTCGACGGAATGTCTTCAATTTTGTTTGTAACACTTTTCTTCACTTACTACTGACTGTCGCTATTCCACCATATATTCAATGCAATAACAATAAATCTACAGTTTATGATTGCAAAGCTCGATTTCTTGCATGCAATTTCCAATTCGCTCATTTAGGAATTGCAACAAAACTGTTCCTACAACTTGTTTTTCGCCTTCACATTCTCTAATTTTGCCTTGCCTTTCCACTCCCACTTGCAGTCATCAATTAGACATACATAATGCCTCCTGCAATTGAATGCGGGAATCCGCTACTGCTCAAATGGCTTGAGGAATGGGTCGTCGAAGCACAAGAACGGGGATACAAATCTCTTCCGACCGTCAAAAAAGCTCGCGATTCAATGAAAGCATGTCCCATGCGATTTGATCACCCTAGTGAAGCAGTATGCTTGAATGGGCTTGGAGAGGGCCTTGCTAAGAGATTGACTGATAGCCTTGAGAAATATTGCGATGAGATGGGTATTCCTATGCCTAAGAAGCCGAGGGGCAAAAAAAGAAAATCGGTAGCTGTTGATGATGGTGGGGAATCTGTGACGCCTTCGCCTTCACCAAAGAAAGCGAGGAAACCTAAACCCTATGTTCCGAAATTGAGATCGGGTGCTTATGCTATCATGTTGGCTTTGGGTACTCAACCACGAAATAGCAGGATAGGAATTACGAAGGAGGAGATCATCGCTTTAGCAGAACCTTTTTGCGATACTTCTTTCACACAAACAAGACCCAGCGAATTTTTCACGGCATGGAATTCTATGAAGACTTTGATCAACAAAGATTTTGTGTACACGAAAAAGAATCCAGCAAGCAGATATTATCTTACAGATGAGGGGTGGGATCTTGCCGATACCATCAAAGCTAGCGGTGATCCTACATTGGGAAGAGCACATGATTTCCAACCTATTGTAGCAGGTCCATCCAATACAGCCACAAGAAAGCAAGACAACGACTCCGATTCCGAACTCGAAGAAATCAATTCTCCATCCCGTCAATCATCCCAATCAAATCCCAATATTCCCGACATACCCAATGGAGAAACTACGAGCATCCCAACCTTCGAACCTATCATTTTGCGCCCCGGTACCTTCACCGTCGAACTCATCCTCGACAACCGCGAAGTCGCCAGCAAGAAAGACCGCGACGGGATCCCTAACCAACTCACCAGTATGGGTGTTCCCCATTCCGTTCGCGCTCTCCCCCTCGGCGATTTTCTCTGGGTAGCACGCGTCCGCGAAGACAAAGCCAAGTGGCTCAATCTCGGAGCTTCTAATCTCATCATGCTAGACTACATTATGGAGCGCAAACGACTCGACGATCTCATCGGATCTATAAAAGATGGTCGATACGAAGAGCAGAAATTCCGTCTCAAACGATCCAGTATCACGAACGTCAAATACCTAGTCGAACACAAGAAAATCGACGCAGATATCTTAGATAAGTGGGGCGACGGAATCACAACCTCCATTACCAAAATGATGGTTCAAGACGGCATACATGTGAAACAAACACTCGATCTGAACGAAAGTCTCAACTACATCGAGCGCATGACCAAACTTCTCAAGAAACAATACGAGGAAAACCCTCTCTATATCATTCCCACAAAAGTGCTATCCGTCAAAAACTACACTCCCTTAATGCAACATCTTCGAAAAACAGAACCAAATCGAGAATACAACATCACATTCGACGCCTTCGACGCTCTATCCAGCAAATCTCAAAACCTAACCCTCAAAGACATTTTCCTCAAAATGCTCATGCGAACCAGGGGCGTCACAGCCAGCAAAGCAATTGAGATACAGAAGCGATGGGCTACCCCTCGAGCATTCCTAGAAGCTTTTGAAGATCTCGATAGCGACGAAGGAGCCGGAGCCCAAGTCAGCGATACCTCAAAAGCTAAATCTAAAGGAAAAGGAAAAGGCCCCGCGCTCCTCCTCGATCCCGAAGAAGCGAGTAAGAAACGAAAGAGAGAAATGGTGTCAAATGAGATTGGCGCGTTGGTAGGCAATAAAAAGGTCCAGGGTGCATTGAGCGCGCGGATTGCGGAGGTTTGGGGGGGTATTGTTTGAGTTGGAGCGGGGGAGGATATCCCGGGCATGTTATCCGAATCTATGATGGTGAGGGAAACAGTAATAGAGAACGGAGCCAAACGAATGAAAAAAAAACATGGGAAAGGAAAAGGGTGTAGAGGTTCAGGCTCGGTTTTGGACTTTACTTTTTGTGTTGCGGTGCGTTGGGGGATAATTGGAATGGGGGAAGAAGGAAACGTTTGGATGAACTTGGGAGGGGGTGTTGAAGAAAAAGAGAATCTTTACTCACCTGCCCATTAATTTCGCGCTTTTCCAAGAGCGAGACTTGAGTATCTTTGTGCTTGGTTCCTGGGATTCTCTACCAGTCTAAGTGGTGTAAAATGCAGATGTAGATCACTCACAGATATTCTTTATTTTGATAGAACATGCTATGTCTGAGAACAAGAGTAGAACAAAGTCTCTTCACTTGACCCCTGAATAGAGCGCACAATGCTTTCATTACATTCATGTCACATACATCGAGGGAAAGGTCTTGTCTTTTATGGCTTTTATTTGCATTTAGATATTATCAACTGCGTAGCTCGCTTGCTATTTTGCGCTACAATGCAATGCTATGATTTTCAAGATCTTGAGCCCATGTCTTAGATCTCGTTACTCCCATCCAACCAACCATTTATTCATCTTGAATGGGTCCATCTTTGACGCCAAAAGAAATACCCAGTTCAGTTCATTCATAGAAATATCAAATCATCTCTTGATTGACTAATGAGAGAATTAAATTCCCTCAAAGAGACTGCGCTCTCAGCCGCGAAAGTCTCTTCTCTCCTTCATCATTTAGGAATTTTGGAGAGCTCTCTAGCACATCTTATATTCAGCACCTCCTTCAGCTTGTCTTAATGGATCTGTAGTCTCCAACTTATATTGAATCTTAACATCCAAATCTCTTGGGTTCTTCTCGTTTGGCTTGTTGTCCAATCTTCCAACAATTTGCTCTCCTTGTTCAACAGTCAAGACTTCTCTCAAATAGAAAACAGTTTGTTTCCAGTGAGTGTATTTAGTGTGAGGTCCAGTGCTGAATCTAATAGGTTTGTGGCAGGCGGTGAAATCGATATCGAACCATGCAATAAGAGCGTGGACGAAATCATTGCGACGCACGTCAAGCTTGAAAGGAGAGGAGAAAGCGAGATCTTCCTTGGTGCATGTGTAGAGATCGAGGGTAAGGACTGCGGTTGGGTCGGTAACGACAGCCTTGATCTCGACGGTATCGACGAGAGGTTCGGTGAGAGCGGTAGCCTTGAGAGGAGAATAATCGAAACCATAAACGTTGTCCCAGACTTTTATACGTTAGTATGCGAACGTTGGAGAAAATATTGGCCATGTGAAAATCTTCGGAAAACTTACATCCAATCTTCTCATCCTTATATTCTCCATCCTCAATACCAGCCATGAAAATGGTAGCCTTATCTGGGAAGATCAGACCATTTGGCGCAAGGTACTTGTCTCTAGCGTAGAGAACGGTATCTAACATGGATTCATAGAGCAAGAAGTAACCCATCCATTCAGAGATAATAATATCAACTTTTGGGTATGGAAGTACAACCTCCTCCATCTTTCCCTGAAGCAATGTAATCTTGTCGGACATGCCGTTGACTTCGACAATCTCACGGGCCTTCTCGATGATGGTGGACATATCGACACCGATAACGTGTTTAGCACCGGCCTTGACAGCGAACCTTTTATCCCATCAGTTTCTGGAATTTTGAGATGCTGGAAAGGGAAAATACACACATGCTGAGAATGGAGGTACCACATCCTACATCAAGAACAATCTTGTCCTTGAAGAGATGCTTGTTTTGCACAATAGCATTCATATATGATCGAGTGCGGACTTCATCTTTCTATTTATATGGTTAGCAAGCGGGGTAAAGTTTGAGAGAAGCAGTTTTTT